TTCCGTTCGTTTATAGGTTGAAGCGTGAACAATCACAATTTGTTGCACTCGGTACATTAATACAATTTCGTCGTATTATTGACTAAACGCGTATCAAATGTATATGATTATTAATTAGTCGCTTACGCGTGCAGGAACCAGCACAGAGAGTGAAAAGCGTACGGAAGAAGCTGGCCCTTTAGTCTCTGGGGACGATGATGCAGTTGACACTGGCGAAGGAACCGAAGAACCGGGAAGCGACATAGTAGAGGATGAAGTGGAAGAGGAGAGCCGCGAAGCGGAAGCGTCACCGTCTAGTAACACGCGTCAAAGGGCAATGGCAGCTGCAGCCGCTGCTGCTGCGGCCGCGACAGCGTCCAACGGTACTAGAAGTGCTACGGCGCGGCGATCATCGCGATCTCCGTTTAGAGCAGCACGTGGTAGTCGACCGACACCCATTGTTTGGGAAAGTCAGTCTGGCAGGGGTAAGCAGAGGATAAATTATGATAATCTTTTATTTACAGCATTATCGGTGTAACATTGGAATATATATATTATTTGTTCAAAGGTCAAGGTGTAGCGCGCGGTGGACATGCAGGGAGGGGAGCGAGCAATGAAACCGGAAGAGGGCGTGGTACTAGACGCCGAATGCGATCTAAATTTCCATATGCGCGATTCTAAGACTGGATAACGATTTTGTATACAAAGTCACGTGAGAAATGTGTAACGAACGTTGGCTGTTAATATATCAACTATCAAAATGAAAATATTTTTATTTAGCTTTAAACGGGAATTATGTTGTACAGATAGATTTGTTCAATACTTTTATTATTTCTATGTCCTTAGATCAGACTATAGCGCCGCTCTGATACGGCACTGTACGTACACTTGTCTCTAAATCTGGAACTGTTCATTTTTTTTTCCATATCAAAAGTCACAATCTTTCTGTCCAATTTGTTCGTTTCCGAAGTTACTAAATTCCGTCAAAAGTATATAGCATTTATGCGACTGTATTTATTGACTCGAATATTGAAAGTGTTCGTCGTATGGTGTACAAGTATCGTAATTTTTAAAGTGCTGTTTATTTCTTAGTATTTTGCAGATTTAATTAAATACGTTGAACTGTATTAACTTTTACATCAGTCATACATTTATATACTATGAACATAATAATATACTTTGACAGTGATAAATAATAATAAATACTATACAATAAATATCTATGCATATACAATTTGATACTTATCACAAAATTTATCATTAGAATAAATTATACGAGGTACTTAAATACGTAGCAGAAAACGCGTATAGAAATATATTTAAACATACTTCAGTCTCTTATCTTATTTAAATTACCAATTAATACTTTCTGAATACTTAAATATCTCATATTATTTCGAGAGTGCCTTCTGAATTACCGACAAACGTTTATAAATACTGGAATTATCATGAATTCGTAAACATATGTAGCAACTTATACATTTTTCATTACGACAAACATGAAATACCTTAATAACTTAGTTTTGATGTTATTACGATATCGGCCAAATAATATCACAATGGGCGAATAGCGAACACTTCGCTAAAAGAGTTTTACAATGATTTCTAAAATAGTAATACGTTTTTGGTACCCTTCATTTTGTTTAACGCTATTGCGAGTAATCGAAAAACAAAATGATAAATATGACTAGTTGAACGAGTCATGTACATTGTAATTGTCATTAAATTTCAATGTTTTCCGATTACTATTGCGACTCTTTTAAGTTTCTTCTTTAAATATAAGTGTCCCATCGGGCATCTTAGTGAATCTACGATTTCATTTGTTCTGTGACTTTAACGTTTCAATTTATACGTTCTACGCTCGAAATGCTCGCGTTCTATCGAGCCGGTGTATTGACTTATCGTCCTAGGTAATCGTTAAAATTAGAAAAGATGATCACATATTCGATTGATCCGATCTATCGGTAGTCTTTTGTATCTCTGTATAAGTCGATAATATCGTTCATTTATAATAATTCATACTCGTTAAAGTGTTTGAAACAATTGTCCACGATTTGATCAAGTAAGATCAAATAAGTATTACGTTAGGTTGTTGATGCTTCAGCTGATAACGGTCGTTGATCGTAGTTACTTGGCACGAACACCTGCCGTGTTGCTCCACCCTGATCCACTGTCTCCTCGTGCTGTTGGTCTCGAGGCTCCAGATCTCGATTTCCATTTCTTCGTAATAGATCGAGGATTCCACCGGTGAACAGCTCATGTCGGAACTCATGCAACATCCCGAGTGACCGTCGCAACGTTTCAGGACGATGTACACAGGTTGAATAGCGCTTTCACTGGGATTTTTGTGGACGTTTTGCATCAAGTCCCTCAAGTTGTACGCTCGTGATTGCGGTTCACCGCAGGTAAACTTCTTCGACATGTTCACAGCACGGGGCAGATGAATCCTCCTGGATACTTGTTGATGATGACCACCGCTGTTCACCGCCGCCGATAGGACCATGTTGTCTAGGGTCAACGGAACGAGTATCATCAACCTTAACAGGGAGGTTTTCAATGATCTATTTTTCATGCCTTGTTCCTGGTACGTTGATTCTGGACGGTCGAACACTGTTGCTTATCCCTACAATCGGATCTACCTGCTCGAAGTCACGTGCACCAAGTTTTTCCAGTATCGTGAAGCGATTTCCGAGTGAACACCCTCCTATCGCGTCTTCTCAACACAAATTACACGTACCACCGACACGAACTAGTATCGAGAGGCGACCGACTGAGACTTTCCTGCTGCCAGAAGAGTATTTATACGTGGAAAAGCTTGCACACGTGCTCCATGCGTGAGGTCACATGCATCGATAGAGATTCACGCACATTCGAAATCCATTCAGAGTCCTACAGTTCCATGTGTAATATTTATGCAATCGTGCAAAGTATCCTGATGCATGGGAATTGCCACGGCTTCTCAACCGTACGTCAAAGATTCCATCCTCGGCCGTTCCCTGAAGAACGGTGGATCGCATTCATATCCTCCAGTTCCGAACAGATTCACCGGTTCGAACGAACAAATAACTTAATAAATCACTGCGACACGCACGGTATTTAATTCCGTATCACATCGAAAGGCTTTCACGCTATATTCGTGTAATCCCGTAGCTCTCAAGACATGTTTTGTCAGTACGATCGGCTAACCTTCTGATAAGAAGAGGAGGAACGCGTTTATATCAAACTCGAACTTCGACTTCTCTTCTATTGATACGTCCCGCGTATAATTACCACCACTCTCACGCTAAACTTAAAATATAAATTTAACGGTCTCTTATCAGACAGCTAGATAGTACACACATGGTATTGTTTATAACTCAACGAGGAATCGATAACGTCGGGCGAGCCAGAATCACAACAAACGCGGAAACGGACTTTTTGTTGCATTGAAATTTCTGAAACTCTCGACGTTACCAGGATTTTAGAATGTTATCACCTGGACCCACTTGTCGTTTACTTTATGGATCCGCTTAAAGCTTCGCACATTTGTAGATAAACCCCGTGAATCACAGGCAGGTTTCTGCTTCAAAATCGTTAACGGTACATCGTACGTGAACAGATGTTTGCTTGTACTTCGATTTGGCAAACCGCCACCTACTCGATCTTGTCTCGCGATCTTGTTAAATAACTCGTGCCTCGTATCTTCGCACGTGTTTCGTTTGTTTCATTCTATGCGTTACGTACAAGAATAGCGGCTGTAAACAAAATCATTCACTTCGCTTAGGGATCCGATCAAAGAAAGACCCAAAGCTTTGTAAATTCAACAAATTAGATAATCGTGAATATATGAAGGAAGAAGAATGTTGCAAGATTTATGAATGATAACCGAGTCAGTTTCCTCCCTTAGAGATTCCCAATACACCGTTACGATCGTTACTATTCTAAGACGTGTGATTAATAACAGAATCCCGTGACATGATCACTTTACTCAGCGCGCAACTTAATTGACGCAAAGGGATATCCTCTGTGGCAAAACAATGACTGTATCTATTACTCTTTCCGGTTTTGTTAAATTCGAGGTAACGCTCATAATGTCATAAATAGAATTTCTTGAAATACTCGTAGATCTCTTAAATCATCTACCAGTTCTAAACGTAATGGAACAATCGAGGAAAACTTGATGTTCTAACAGGATTAACTGAAAAGTCGCATCATCCAAAGTTCAACGTATTTGTCCTCGATCAGTAGGACGAAGACCTATACCGTAATATGCAAACAAAATCGATCAAGTTTTACATTATTTTACGATCCAACCTCCGTGCTATCAGTTGCGTAACAAGAGTTTCCATCAAGGATTCAGGAACGAACTTTCGGTTACGTGGAAAAAATGGAAATCGAACGTGAAATATTTCGGTACATTGGTGGTTATTATTAGTGACGATGATGTTCGAGGTGGACAATTTCAAGGTCACCGATCGGTGTCGAGTACACCTTCACTGGAAATTCTGCGCACGATTCATAGATTATTCGTATCCTCGTGTACCGTTGACTCAGGTTCCACGAATCAAACTGTTAACGGATATTCGTGTAACCCGGGCCTCGATTTGAGCAATCGATGACCGCTCTCACTTTACGCGAAAGGAAATTCGCCGAGTCGACTGGCTTACACCTCGTGACGCACGGGATTGCGCATCGCGTACGATTTGCGGTCTTTTCGGAAAAATCACGAATAAAGGAAGGTGGAACGTCATGAATGAACCTTGCCGCAACCAGACACTCGGCAGACGGCCGTATCGCGATGACTCACTGCAACCTGTCGCATCATATATCGTTGCAGATCGGAGGATATACAAGTCCACTCGATGACACGCTGCCAGTCCCGAGTAACTCTGCCCGTTGACTCTTTGCATTCACGAATTTCATTCGTTATCTATCATTTCGGCGAAATTCATCAGGGGTGGCACTAAAAATCGAAAGACAATACTAGTACAACAAATATATTATCAATTAACATTCCACAGAAAAAATAGGAATATCTCATTTGATCTTGTATAGATTTTACTGTTAGGTGGAAGAGAGGTCAGCGACACAATTGTCATCGATTGCAAACGGGAAAATTCAGGCACGTTGCACCGACATGCAAAAGAAAAAGAATCGAGCGAAAACCGAGGGCGATCGGTTTCACTGATGACTGGTCGAAATTTGGCGCGATCAAAGTACGAAAATAAAAGAGAGGAACGAATACAACGAAAGGAGAAAATAAGAAGGTGAAAGAGGATGTTCGATGAGGATGGCTAGTCACGCGACGTAACACAGTCCCAGCTTCGAACGAGAGGCAGGACCCACTAGTTGTAATTATAGTTATCTGCGCGATGTTCTCGGAACGCTTTGCTTCGACCCCTCCTTCGAGCTTACCGAGAAGCAAGAGGGAGACAGTGCGAACCACTGTCGGACGAGACAAAACTATACAGAGAGCAACGGATCGAAAAAGGATAGACGAAGTGAAATCAGAGATGGAGGGGACGGTGGACACACTGGGCCGAGGATGAAAGTTACATATATATAGAGGGAGAAAGAATTCAGATCGCAGAAGAGAAGTGCAGTCTTCTGCCCTGGCCCCAGAACGATCCTCGCCGATCTATCAGAGCGAACCGAACCGTCGACGGAAGTAGGTCCCTCGGTACTGCGTTCCATTCACGAGCAAAACAGGACTGACCCGTAAACAACAATAACAGCTAAAAATGAGAAACTTCGTGTTAATGTTGTTTTTCATTCATCTCGCCTTTGCCACGATTGGCCGTCATCACAGGTAAGTTGCACTGTGCATGCAAATTGAATTGTATAATATCGATCACGTGATTCTGACAGACGCATTAAACGGTCGTTTTCGTTGACAGGGACCGGGGATTTTTGAATCACGTGCAACTGGTGCACGAATTTCGGTGCTCCTCGCCGCAACCAAGGGCCGTGCCGGTGGAAAAGCTTTTAACCGTTGGCCCTAGCCCCGATGAGGTTTTCTATCCTGCCTCCACCGTTTTGACGCGTTGCGACGGAGCTGGATGTTGCCCGGACCCCAAACAGATTTGCGCACCTGTCGAGACTAGAAACGTCAGCCTTGTCTTTATGGTGAAGCACATGATCGACCGGCAACGCGATAGACATCACGAAGTGATACACGTTTTGGAGCACACCAAGTGCGGATGCGTCGATAAGAAATTGATCGAATTCGACTGATTCTTCTTTCTAGAGAAAGCTTCTCTCTGTCGAGGACTTACATCCGTTGCTTTAAGAATATTGTTAAGTAGTTTTTTGGTACTTTGTCTTCTTGTAGTAACCAAAATGATATTTATAATTGCGCGAGTAAATAACGGTGTAGTTAGTAGATTAAGTTTAATTGTAAGACGAGTTCCTTGATTTAATCATCCTTCAGGATTTTTGACTGTGATATTTTCATAAAGTAGCGTAAAATGTATCTTTGTTATTTATAACATGGAATTAATAAAATATAGATACTTGTAGGTGACGCTACGTCGTTGGTATTCAATCTTCCTTACACGTGTCTCGGTTAAACGGTGTGTTTTATTATTCAGCTAATGAGGGCAGTGCTCGTTTAATTACCTTTCAATCTTTCACGTCGAAGTGTTGTTTCGCAGCTAGCAAATCGCATTGGATGCTTTTATCGTCCGGCATCAATTTCAGAGCAGCTTCTAGTTCAGGAATTCCATGCTGAGGCGAGGACAATTTACAGAGTGCTGCGCCCCGTCGAGCGTGACACCTGGCTCTTGACTCTCGATTGCTTTCGCATTTCGGCACCATTAGTTCCAACGCCTACGAGAGTAAAGTATAACTATAAACCATTTGTTCGAGAAACTTATTACAATTCCATAAACGATGGAAGAAAACTGTTAAATTATCTTCTATTATTCTACCTTAACGTGTAAATCGGCAAATGTGATTTATTTTATATGCAGTACGAAATTAACATAACTTAACAAATTAAATAATCAGAATAAATTTGTATTGTTTACTTTGGAACAGTCTTCCATGCATCTACGGTAATTCCCTAACGCGTACTGCGCTGCTGATCGGTTCGCGTAAAGCGATACCATTTTATCGCTGATCTTAATTCCGCACGTATAAGCGCTGATAGCTGCCAAGTAGTTTCCAACTTTGAGAAATTCACTGGAACATAAACAAAAACGATCCGTTAGTGAATAAAATGTACATTTATATTATTATTATCGCGATATTAAATCATGATATTACGATAATATTAGAGAAACATTCGAATGGTGATTTTGGAAAACAAACGTACTCTCCTTTATCATTCAACCATTGCGGATCGCGTTCTTCCAATCGCAGATCATCCGTATCGAAGCCAATTTTGCGTCTCGCTTCTGCCTGTTTTTCCAGCCACTGCAATGAAATTATTATGTTAACGATTATCATCGAGCTATTTAAATAATAAAAATAAAAATACCTCTTGTTCCTCGAGGTGAGAACTTTCTCTGGCAGGAGTGGGAAACTTCCTATCCGTGAACGTTACGTTGATGGTACTGTTCCTTCTCGGCAACGGAACCGATCTTGAGGGCTCTTCGAATATACTCTTTCTTCTCACAAGTTCCCCATTTATCACAGCTTTCACGAATTCCGCTCCTGGTCTCGTATTTCTCTTTTTCGCGTAGAGCTTACGCAACCTTTTCCCTTCCATTTCCTTGGCGAAACTAGGCGATTCAAATTCGCGCGGCGATTCGGAATCTTCCGAGCTGGAATCGTCTGTACCATCGAAGAAATTCCTTTCCGTCTCGATCTCTTCGATTTTCTCGTTAATTTCTGGATTTCCATCGTTCGCCACATTTACGTTTTCACCCGAAGTGGGTGGTTCTTCGAGTTCCTTCAATTCAACAGATCGGAGTCCCTCGTCAATCGTATCGTTATTAAATATTTCATCGTCGGTCATTGGTCGAGATTTTAACGTGTTATTGTCGTCTTTGAACCATTTCAACGGTGGTCTTGTAAGAAAAATTGCAGATAAAGTGAATATTCGAATTAAAAATCGTTTTAGTAAATCGATTACTTGTAAGCTTTCCTATTTTCCTGTATCTGTCCGTCAGCGTCAGGAAGAAACGGTAGTTCAGCTTTCGATCTCCAATTCTCGAAATCCTCCATGGCTTGCTTCCGGTGAGCATCGCGAATGGCTTCTATCTTATTCAGCGTTGCTGTATTAATGCTAATTTGTTCCTTCACCGCTTCTTTTTGCAAGCACTGACGTTTTTCTGAAGGTTATGGTTTACGAGTACGAATCAGTTCGAATATCCTGTATCACAACGTAATATTGTACCTACCACTTTTAATTCTTTCGCGTTCTTCAACGTCCGCCTGAAAACGTTCCAAAGCTCGATTTCGATATTTCCGGCGTGTCTCGTTGTCGATATTTTGTATATCGAGAGAGGGCCACTCTTGGCCGATCTGTATTTTCCGCAATAAAAGTATCGCCTCCGTGTCGGTAACAGTACATTCGCTTTCTTTTTCGGCGATGTCGGCCCAAAGAAACAATTCCAATATGAAGGGTGGAAAGCTGATCTGTTATTTCATCGGAAGTTGCGTTTAAATAGTGTAATTTGTAATGAATAGACGCTGAGAAATATCGTTACCTTCACGTAATTGTCGATTACGAATAAATCTACCTTCGCAGGATGACCTCTCAAAGGTACGTTTAACATCACGAATTCCGACGTTTGTCGCCAAGTATAATCTTTGATAACTATAGCTGGCATGTTTTGCGACGATAATGAACCACACTTTACAAAGAACAATAATCGTAAGGATTTAAATAATGGCAATGCGATGTTTTCTTTTATACGACCAAGAGTATAGGATAAGAAAATATCGATCAAACAGTTCGTAGTATGCGTCGGTATCGTACGACAACGAAACAGTACACGTTGTTATAGGCGCGTTTTTTGATCGATATTTTTCTTTTAAATAAATTCAATATATTTCGCTTATTAAATCTGAGTATCATTTTACAAGTTTGGTGAAAAAATCGTAACGATACATAAGGTTTCTATTATTGTATTTAAAGTCTATGGTTTAGATACATATACATGTACAATACAATTGAAATTTTCCTCGGTGTATAATTTATTAGGTAAAAAAACAAACTACGAGTGTATTGTATGAATTACTTTTAATTAAAACGTTTAAGAGTATTTGTTGACAATACTTTTCATAGTAATTATTAAAAAGCTGCCGTTCACGCAACTGTGATATTTCGTTCTTATCCATGGAACCATAATTTTTCTCTCCCGTGTGCAATAATTTAAAATTACCGAAAAAACGTATGAAAAACATTCAGATACCATGTAGTTCCATAGAGATGTAAAAGTTTTGGTTCTTGGGCTAGACTATTACTTTTGGACAAGTGTTTGCTTCGTTAAGTCGCATACCTAAGCCATTCGTTGAAAATCAACTACAAAAACTTATCGTAAATCAGTCAGTTTTTATCAAACGTCTGCTCCTTCAAGTTTGCAATATTACTTTAAAACGAATTGCAGGACGTTCTGATCCTTGAGAATTTTTTTTTTTTTGTTCGTCGAACATACAAGTTTCGAAACATATTAAGATTTACCCTGAGACGCAAGAGTTTCTTTTTTTTTCAACGATTTGTTGTATCTTTCGAGTTCAGTTCCCACATTTCGTTGTATATAACAACAGAAATAACAAGTATTAATTGCTTTTAAGATATCGTGATACATAGTACTGTTAAAAAATGGAGGACCTTTGATAAACGCTTAAGTTAGAAAATGAAAAACTATTCTCTATAAAGATATTATGACACTATAGTTATGCCTCTTACACGCCTCACGTCATACTCATGTTCTTGTAGATTACAATATTAGTGATCGTTCATTGTGTAATATGTACAATATGTATCAATGTCAAATACTTTGCACGTTTAATTGCTCCGTGTGAAAGAAACGTTCTTCTTGAAAAGAACGATATAAAGAGAAAAACAAAGTATTTAACATTATACAAAACCATTAACATTATTATAAATAAGTATACGTACGATAAGGTACGTTCGTCTACGTTATACCCAAGCGGGTCCCGTAATTACTTGAATGAACATTCAGTACGCGTTCTCGTTTGGTTACTAATCTTGTATTCACATACATTATTTAATACACAATGTATTCGCAGTATATCCACGTATGCATAGGGACATTGCTCGAAGCATAAAAGCTTCCGCAGTGTTTGTTCTACTTGTGTTAATAAAGATAAAATTATAAAATCGCATGGAATGTCTAAAGTATACAAAACGCCGAAGAAAATTCATCACATAACTTAAAAATTATAGTCGCAATAAAATCGACGTTGTGCAGATTTCTATCATTTGATACGCATAATACAAATTTCGCATGATTTAAAAGAAAAAAAATTTTAATACATAGAAAACGGTGGTATAATATGATGTTGATGTATGATGACAATACTTCATTTTATATAGATAAAAGAAATGCGATAACTTGTTAGTGTCGTGAAATATAGTCTGAGCAAATTTAAATGGAATAAATACAGATGAATATAGTTATTTTATAGTTTGATCGATCTACAATGAAATTTATAACACACACCGTATTGATAATTACAAATTCGTTGACAGTTCAATGATGTACATACTAAAGGACAGTCACTTTCTTCCAGTAATAGTTACACTAATATCCTATTTCTCTAGCATTTGTATTATCTGTTACGACATGAAATTGTTATTACACGAATCAAATCGATAATAAAAATAAATACAAGAAACAACATATTCTAGTAACATAAAACAGATACCATTATAAAGTATATACTTACAAGTATAAAAAAAAAAAAAAAAAAAACTATATAATCAAAGTTTTATTACAATTTATCTAAATGGCTTGAATATTATACAATACATATCACTTGCATACGTCTGGCATAACGGGGTCATGTTTTCACATACATACCCTTTCCTTGAACTGTATTCATTGTCGCTTCATAAATATTAATAATTAATACAAATACTACAAGAATAACGAAGCAACACGAATACAAGGATCATAAATAAATGCAAAAATGTAAAGATAAAAATTTGATAACTCAGTATAAATAATTAATGTTTAAGATTTCGGATAGAGAAATCCGAACAAGAACATTTACTTAACTGTGACTGCTTATACGCACTAGCGAATTAAATACAGACGGAAGAATTGAAAAATACATTACAGACATCACTGGAATATCATACACAAGATTTCCATATGTCACCGACTTTTTGTGCAATATTATTGCATTTCACGAAGGACACAAATACATAATTGTATACACAAACTATTTTTTCCTTGCAGCCTTCTCTGCTTTTCGCCGCATTCGTTCAATTTCTTTTCTTTCCTTGCGTTCCCGGTCCGCTTGTGCTCTAAGTTCCTTTAATTTCCGTTTCAAATGGGATTTCTCTTCTCCGTAAATACCAAAAGCTTTGAGGTCCCGGGACTCAAGCCGTAAAAGGTTACCGCCGTTAATTCCAGTTTCCAAAAAGCGCGGCGAATAACGCTCCAAACCGATTCCCGATAACCACTGACACACCTAATACCATTTTTTAATTTATGAATGTAATTATAGCACATAAAGTTTTCAACAAATATTTTATAAACAAGACTCACTTGTTCCTTCGACCAATCTGTGACTGGGGCATTCTGCCAAAAATGAGACTTCTTCTCACCTAAACCAAAGTCGCTTGGATGAGGAGGCAACCAAACTTCACTCGTATCTAGATTTGCAATTTTATTTATATATGGAAAGGTTATAATTATGTTAAAAAAAAAAAGAAGCGTAACAAAATGATAATAGGGACCATGAATTATTTACTGTTCGAATCATATTTCGATCGTTTACGTTACCTGTTTTGGATGGGCTAGGATCAACAGCAGGTGGGCTGACGGATCCACCGGAAGATAGACTGGAAGGTGAACTACCTGGATGGTGCCAGGGTGTCGCGCTGTTACCAATTATATTTGACGAAGGAATAGTGACTTTTTTTACTGTAAAGAGACAATGCATTATAAAATATGTTATTAAGTTTAACATGGACTCATTAACTGTTATCGTCGGATACGTTACCTCTCTGATTAGCCTCGTTTACAGCTTGTCGTATTTCTTCAACTAAATGATGGGTAACCAAAGCTGGATCGTTATGTGGATTATTTAAGTCGCTAAAGTCTCCGGAACTCTCTCTCGATGAAGACATATCATTTCCACCAAGCCGTCTTTCTCTTTCCGCCAAAACTTGTTTTAATTGTTCTGCTAATGATGCCGGTGGTCCGGTTAAACCTGAGAAAAATTAATAATCATTTCATACTTAATATTTTCTAAAAATCGATTAAAAGAAGAGATAGTACTTTTTTGTGACTGTGGCCAACTTTGTTCTGTCATAGCTCTAACTTGAGAGCTAATAGTACTGTGTTGTCGGATCGCCGTTGGATGCGTAGGTTCCATATGTTTACTTTTCAGTGAACTAATCGAAGAACTACTGGAATAGGAACTCAAGTTCGATTGTTTCGATGTCAAATCGTTCGGAGACCTGCTACTTGTATCTTGAGAAAGAAGTTTCGAAGACGAATCTTCGTCAGTATTGTCACCGGATTCGTCCAAACCATAGTCCTAAAGATTAATATTATTCAGAAATTATTTACATTTTTTTCAAATTTACTGTATACTTACGGAACTGCTATTACTAAGGCCACCGGATCGTTTAGGAAGTTGTCGATTCGCGAGTCCTCCTCTGCTAGCAAGTTCAGCTTTACTTTTCCCAGCAGAATTGTCGAGGAGTCGATGAGCAGGTACTGCTCGGTCTAATTCCTCCTTGACTGGCAAGGGAAGCGGTAATTTTCTCTCCACTGTTGCAGTTTTATCCCCGTCATCGGGGCTACTAAGATCCGATGTCTCTGTGTCTGAAAGCTGACAGCTAGTTGACGAAGGGGGTGGAGGTAACTGACGACGCGATAACTGTGGCGTGACTATCCTAGCTGTTGTACCATCGTAAGGCAATCTCACGGGTAATCCAAACCTTCTCTGCGTTTCCGTTAATTCTACTTCTAACGTGATTACCTAAAATTATTCATAAGTTATTATTTACCATATACTGCATTATTCGTAAAGTTTCGTGACTCGTATATTTTTAATCGGCAACTTACCCTATCCTTTAAACTTTTAACAAGAGCATTGTATTCTGTGTCTTTCTCTTGCAACAACTGTTGATAGAATTCATCACGAGCCGCAATATCCGCGCGCAACTCACGTGCTGCTCTCCTTGCTCGTGCATATTTCTGTTGTAAAGCAGCATTCTGTGCTGTTGCTTGAGAAAGCATTTCTCGTGCCATTGCTAAATCCTGTCTAGCAGTGCCTAAAGCTCTCTCGGATTCATGGAGTCGTAAACCAGATTCGCGTAATTTGGCTGCATATTCCTCACTACCCGCCCCACTGGTTTCCAAGTCTACAAGCTATAAATAAACATTTACAATAAATTCGATTGTTTCATAAAAGGATACACGTTAATACGATAAAATACATATACAAATGCTTGGACATACGGCATGGGCAATTATAAAAGGGCAATAAAGTGATAAGAATATTTATCGAGATGTGCGAAATTTCATGAATTAAAAGCATGTGATACATAGAAAAATGGCGCAGACAAGAATCGATTATTTTATAGATTAAAAAATGTCTTGCAGTGGAAATAGTAATAAAAAGTTGCTTCGTGAAAAATCTCATGTGATTACCTTAGCTTTGAGCTTTTCCACCTCTCCATCTGCTAATGCTAGTTTATACTGACTCTGCAAGCAGCGAACAACGAACACAGTGCATAAGCAAAACCAAAAATATATTCACGCCTATAAACCTATGAAAGTGTGCTCATGTGTACATAAAATAGCGGTACAATTTAAGTAACATATGTATATATGTATATACATATGCGCGCGCGCGCGTGTATACACATATATACAACACCTTACAGTGCATAGCTTTATACAGATTTGCATTTTACACAGTGATATTTTATAAAACTAATAAAAATAAATATATCACTAGGTACTTCGTGCAGTAATAAAATAACGAAAAATATACTCTAATACAAAATCATATTTCTCGTTTAAGATAAAGTCGCTAATTTTTTGGCATATCTTTTTACTATGTGACTATGGAAACAGAAGAGAAACTAAACAGAAAAAATTATCCGATGATGAGTAACGAGACCACAGTGCATGTTTCTCATTATCTATCTTCGTAAGAATAAATATAAATTTACGTATAACGAAATATTTCAACTAAAATTTTTAATTACTATGCGTACACTAGACTACTTATACTAAACATGTATATTAAGTATCTTATTTCTTATTGACAGAAATACGATACCTCTTGTAAAAGTAGTCTTAGACTGTCGACATCGCTTTGTGTGGTGGCGGATGGTGGCATCGATGAACTGATAATAGGAGATCTACTCCGACTAGAAGCAGACAAGTAATTTTCTATAGGACTTTGGGGAGGCTCCCCTTCAGAACATGACGACATAGCTGGAGAACCTGGTATTGCACTCATGCTTCCAACGGACCCTTCCTCACCGCCTCGTTGACTATCAGGCGAGGCATCCGAAAAATTAAGTTTTCTATACAAATAACAATAACAAAAAAAGAAAAAAAAACACGTTTATGTTACAATATTTCAAACGACTTCGATAGCACTACATGATCATAAAAAAGTCATTTTCCTCAGTACCCCAAGCGACCACGTGCCGTCATTGAGGTGGCCATATATTGTCGTCATAGGCATTAGCGAGCAAGGATAAACCATCATTGGAAAATGATTTTACAAAACCATATATAAACTCGTTAATTCGTCATTAATCGTACCTTGCGGAATTAGCTTGTTCTCTTTCTTTGTCTGCTTGAAGACTCTGGCGAATTAGCATGGCTACCTCTGAGTTCGGATCGCGTTCTCTACCAATCACAAAACGCACAAGACCCGAAGTATTACGAAGAACGCTGGCTGCATACGCTTGTGTAACTCCAACTAAAGATTTTCCATCCACTTCAACAATTTGATCGTTCACTTGTATTCTGCCTTCTCGCGCAGCTGCGCCTTTTTCCGTGATGGTTTTGACGAATATACCCAATTTTTCAAGTCCGGCATCCGCACCAACGCCCATTCCAATTATGCTCAAACCGAGACCTTCTGGTCCTTTCATAAGTTCCACTGGGAAAACCTGGTAAATTGTTGTTATTTATTGTATGTATACGTATAACGAAATACCAGTTCAGTAATAACGTTAAAGAACTACCTCCATCTTTTCCACTCGTTTTTCGAGTTCGTATTCTGCACTTGCGGCAACAGGATCCACGTCTTCGTTTCGACGATCGTACTCGTTCACCGAATGCGTTGAGTAAACTTTCATTGGTCCTGTGTCAAATGAAACTTTAGTCATTTTTTTCTCGGGTAAATTTGTCGGATAATCGTCCTTCTCTTCGTCCGATTCTGGTATTCCGGCGACTTCCATCCAAAAATGACCGTCTTCGAAATAATGTACGCCATTCTCCACGAGCACCTGTACGAATTATATCATGTCTGCCGTATTTTTAAAGTAAATTTCATTAAAATAGGTTTTATTTGTTTGCGATCTTACAACTTTGCCAGGCATTGGCGGGATATATTCATCTTGATGTTCAGTTTCTGTATCGTCGTTAGTTTCATGAGTATAGTTTAAACTACTAACGGATCCAAGCAAACCACTTTCACTGCCAGTTACAGAACCCACTCGACTCTCCGTTAACGAGTCTATCGTTAAATCGCTACGTGATCTATGGGACAAACTAAAAATCGGAAAAACTTAATGTTTGTTTGAAAATAAGACGATCGTTATCGCGCTTTTGTGCTAAATCGGATCGCGCGTGTGCAATTAATTAAATTAATTGAAATAAATAGATAGCACAAGCTGCAAAATATTTTTATAGAACGTAAAGAACGTAAAAGACCAAACAGATTCACCTATAATCATTAGTGGTGCTATTAATAAGACTGGTATCAGGAGCAGACAGAACATCGGACAGCCAATCTGGTGTATTATCTTGATCTTCTCTCTCCCTTTCTTTATCCATGTCTTTACTTTTATCAATACCATTTTCTTCGTTTACAGTCTCAGCATTTGCAGTAGGCGACAATAGCCTTGCTATTTCTTGTGCTTCCTCATCCGACAACAAAACTGATCCTTGTCTAATCGATTATTCATATAATTCATGTTGTTCTTTCGTAATTTAATATCATGATCAATGAAGACATTTAACTATACAATGACAATGAACTCACCTTATCTTTTTCTCTAGGATACTGCATTTCGTCCCAGTAGATTACAAGTTTGTTCGAAGTCACATTTAAATAAACACGAATAGAACAAAATATTAGAATTTAAACTAAGGAAATAAAATTTATTAAGCTGCTTGCAAGTTGCCATGAAATGATTCGCTACGCAACTAGAATTATCATAATTATAAAATATAGAGGTGTATGAAAAAATCTATTTAAAAATCTTAGTGCATCGTATGACCCTTGTTTATGTTAATACCAACTGTATTAATTATTATTTTTGCAACATATGAACTCTAGTTTGTGAACTTACCGAGAACTGAGCAGGTTTTCTGCCTCGTCGGCTGTCATAGTATCTGGTGTTATAGGAACTGTTTGATTAACGTTAGTTTTAGAAGTTTCCATTGCAGTCTTAGAAATGTGTTCGTTAACATTTTTCATATCCATTCCTGGTCCATATTCCAAATTTGTAATAGTTTTAGTGTCGCTAGAATCGCTATCATCGTGAAGACTATTTTCGGATGTGACATGTTCAACCGCTTGTTTCATTTCTATATGTTGAGCTATAACGGCAGGTGACACGTTTTGAGGTACGTTAGCTTTTTGAACGGTATTCATGACGGGGGTACTTTCTTGTAATCGTAATTTTGCCAATTCAGCTTTTTGCTTTTCCTGCTCCCAAGTTGTTTGAGGTTGATCCGATTCTTCTATACTCCTATTTATAATATTGTTTACCGTTTGGGAATTGGGTGGTTGTATCGTATTTCCTGCTAGCGTTATATATTCCTTCTGACTACCACTTTTTAACAGAAATTCAGATGCATTTACTGGACGTACCGCTTCATCTAATTCTTCGTTATTAATAGGTTTGTTTATCAAATTCTCGCTACTATGAGTATTTGAAATAGTTGAACATTGACTCGTATTTAAAATGGCTTTGTCTGTTTGATCTACTCTATTATCAACTTCAGCGAAACTTGAACGTTTCCCAGATACCTCTTCTTTATTTTTTGCGAGCTTTTCCCGCACGGAAATCTTGATTTGATCATTTTTGGCGTTAGATACTGTTTTCTGGCATACCGTTTCGGAAAATGTATGCCTTTCATTGGTAATATTTGATTTCGACTTATTATTATCTAAGACTACATTTTGATTTACTTCTGTGATCACTGAATTCGCTCTTGCATGATCATGATTACTGTCATGAGATATCTTATTATGGCAACTTATTGTTGAATCAGTTTTTATCAGTACATTTTCTTCTACGTTTGTTTTCATTTGAGGTTTACCTTCGTTGTTTTGCGTGGAAACTTCTTGATTTTGTTGCATTTTTCTTGCATACGGCGAAGGTATCGGTATATCTTTATGCTCTAACGGCGGATATTCTTGATCCGAACTAACAACTGATGGTGGCCGGTGTCCCAGACCAGCAGCTTGAAGATCAACACGTACATGAGAACGTCGAATAACTGTGGTGGTATCTGGTTCATTGAATCGTGAATTTTTTTCCGAAACATCCTTCTCGCGAATGGATTCTGCATATGTTGCAGGCTTTTCTTGCTCTTCGGGTTCCAAATCATAACTGTTACGTCCTTTAAATCAAATATTACAATATCAAATTATGCGATAACGTAAAGTATACGTGCAATAAAATATAAATGTATCAAATTTGAAAAAAGGATATTACAAAATACCTCGACAATCAATGCAAAGTAGTCGTAGACACATGATACTCTTATGTTTTGTGTACAGAATAACGAATAATTCAAAGAATTAAAATACACAATAAGAGATAAAATACTATCTTTTTTACAAAAAGAATCTAAATGTAAATATTTTGAAATATTTTACAACACTAGCAATGCGCATAACCTGTGACACAAATTTATTTGGTATAACATGTAAAACGTGTTATACATATTTTACACGAAAAATGTATACACTTTATCAAGAAGAAACTTGGATATTTACCAAATTATTTGAATAAAATAACATTTTAAATTCAACTCGAATTACCAAGAAGCATTAATATTGTAATATATTTTTTTAATTTAATGTTTAAGAAACACATTGAAGAACACGCATAGAAACACACTTAAGCTTCATTTACCGAATGCAAAATTATTTTTAATAAATCAAATTGATTTACACATAATTTATGTCTATTTTTTATTAATGCACTTTCCACAAAACAAGTATTTTAATAACGATAATGATAATTAATTTTTAATAAATGTTACTTTTTTTTCTAAATACTGACAAAAAGAGAATTGAAATTTGTAAAATACTTTTCCGAAGAAATGCTGTAAAGTACAACCAGACAGAGGCAGAACAGAATACACAGAGATTTCTATAAATAATACTGTTGAAACCGGTAGGAGGAACTAAGATTAAGAAGAGGAGGAAAAGGGGAAGGAGGAGAGAGTTTCCTCCTGTGCTTTTACTCTTTAGTATTTTGGCACTATGCCATAATAAAATGACAACATTTATGTATACGTACTATTACTGAATTATTTGTTAATAAAGAAAAAAATTAAAAATTAAATTAAATTTATGATTTTGCGTACGTGTTTCCTGTTTTGTAGTAACTTAACGTATTCAAACGTGTATAAGATGTATTAGTGGTTACATACGTTTGTATAGATGTCAGTTTAAACAATGTAACTGAGAATGATTTTCAAATACTATACCCGTTTGAAATTTTTCAGACATTTCCTTATCTGCCTTCTCTTCTTTACTATCCTTAGAAGGGGAGCTAGGGGAGCTCATACTAGAAGAAGCACTATCCGTACCTCCAGAAGGTGGTCTCAATTCCGGATCCGGAGATCTTGACGGTTCTATTTTCCTTTCGTCCATCGTGTTATCTTTTTTCCTTACGGTATTTACGCTTGGTCTGGCCCAGTCTGGTCTTGGATCGAGTCTAACGATTTCATTTTTAGTTTCTACATCTAAAACTTCTTTAGAATTTTTCAGGTTCGCTGCTTTCTTCAAAATTTCATCGTTTTTGGCTAACCATTCGTTTCTCCATTCGGAAGTTTTCGGGGGTGAACGTACAGCGTTCGAGGGATAATTTAAATACTCGGGAGTATCGAGCAGATCACCGTCTCTCTTCACCTTATTTTCGTACGCAATACTAGAAATATTCTCGATCGACATACTCCGCGTTGGACTAGATGTATCAGAATTTCTTTCATAAGAGGAAACATGCGATTTCGTTTGCGAATAAATATCAATACTTGAGCTTGCAAGGGCATTTTTGGAGATCAAACAACTTTCCGTGTTATTGAAGCTTTTCGAATGTTGAACAGATGTGTTTTTTGATATGTCCGTATTACGTGAATGCACTTTGCCTGTGCTGTTCTTTTGTACAACAGCATACTCTGGCACGAATACATCTTGCGTTCGCTCTGGTGTAGGAGCAACAATATTCTTTGAAGCTTCCCGCTGTTCTTGGTTTCTTTGGAAATTTTTATTTTGTACATTCGTATTTTTTTGTACAACTGCATATTCTGGTATACTTGGCGAAGTATCAAAATATTTATTTATAGTAGCATATTCTGGACTACTAGGAAGATCTACAGGAGACACAGCTGCAATGCTAGCCGGTCTTTCTTTTTTCGCGTTCGAAGTAGAAGAATTTCTTGTTGGCGGTGGAGGTGGAGGTGGTGATATAGTAGATGATCTAATTGAACAAAAGCTCGCAGATCTTGTTGCTGGATTACTTGAAATATCTGTTGGCCTTCTCGCTTCGTTATCGATACTTGTTGCATTTTGTGCGTGTCCTACGGAAGTAGTTTCAATGTTCACTTTATTTGCGCTCTGATTCAAAGAACTCTGAACCACGGATCTATTTGGGTCTGAATTATATCTACTCGGTCTAGTTTTTGAGAAATGGCTAGTCCAATTTTTCTGCTTTTCAATCAACTCTTTTGAATTTAATCTCCTTTCCGGTTTTTCTGGTTTCTCCGGGCGATCATCCAAACGATTTTCTTTGCCATAATTTTTATCGAACTTTCCAAAAGCTGCGCGCGATTTATGTTTGTCTGGCAAATTATCCAAACCGTGATTGTGACCATTTTCAAAATGTCTCTCAGCATTTAAAGCTGGTACGCTTGCGCTCCAATTACTCAAATGATCTCTAGTTCCTGGAGGCGAAGGAGATCTCGGACGCGGTGATCTAGCCGGAGACGTACAACCCGATCCAGAATTTGCCGAACTAGAACGCGATCTCAAACCATGTAAATTGGTTGGCTTTGCAATTCGATCGACCCTAAATAGAATATTTTATTATAATTTTATTAATGCTAATACTTTATTTGTATTTCTGTTTACTTTACAAGTATGCACTTACGGTTTATTTGGTTTATTTTCTTCTCCAAGTTTCTCAAAAAGTGCTCGTGCATTATTGAAACGAGCCACATGGCTTTCAGTTCTAACAACCGTGACTTGCGTGGGAGACTCTTTTAAAGGTACAGCTGGTTCCTTGAAACCATCTGACAAAATATTATTAGTTCTATGGTTTAAATTGTCCAGTTGTGGTTTCGATTGAAAAATGTTCGCGATAGCTGACACTTTTGAGCCACCAACTCGTTTCTTTTCTTCTACTGTAGCCATGTCTTGTTTCCCTATAGACAAAATAAATATAAATTATCATATTAATTGTACCTAAAGTAACAAATATAAAAAGTCAATTATTTGATATGTTGAAAACTGATTGCAGAGTACTCTGATTAACTTATTTTACTACTTCTGCAATTCATACTTTATAGAGAAAGCATCAAAAAAATATGTTAGATAATACTAATACCTGGAATCTCTCGTGTATAAAAATTGTAAGAGTTTTAAAGTCTGATATATTTCAGCCCATTGTCATTCGTCTATTCTTTTTGTTCATCATTTTTTGTTGGATAGTCTGAAAACAAAACACAACAACAAGATGCAAAATAAATGTTATTGATTCCACATAAAATCATGTAGCTGTGTAATATGTCACTAGACACATCTATTAAAATAATTTTGCATTTAAATTTTATAAACATAACACGTTTAATGTCATTAAATATTTATATAGGTTATTACTTTGACAACACTCAAAATGTATCTTAGAAATGCTGAGCATGTTCTTTGGCAACATTAGTGAGGTATTTTATTGTGAGATTACATTAGGTATATATGTCTGTGATTGTCTGAAATGATTTAAGTTAGAGTTAAATGGAAGGCATAGTATACAGAGGTGGGGTCTTGTCTGGGCTTCACCCTCCTCCCATTGCCATAGCACACCATGCTCCTGCAATCAATACTTGAATCCTTTCTCTGTAGTTGAAGTATGAAAAGTGGAAGCATGCACATGTTATAATCTTATATTATATACATTGTATATAATGTGTAAGCCTTTGTAATAATAGCTTAAAGTTAAATGTAGCTTAAAATAAATAATGAAGCTAATGTAGCAAAGTTTCACTTATTTACACAATTTTTTATAGCACTTTGAATGTATCATCAACTATTTTATGTTTTGTTATATTTAAGGGGAAGAAATTTGCATGCAAAATTATACATAAAAACAATTGAATAATCATGCAATATAGAGTTGCATTCACAAAATATAAATTAGTGAATAAAAATAGTAAAATTTAGATTATAATAAAGATATTTTTCCTTTAATATAAACGTGTTATACATTGATGATTGTATGAAAAATAAGATGATATGCTTTTATAGTTGAATTAAAGTCAATTTAAAATAAATAAATCATTGCATCGATTATAAGATGATACATACTTGTTATTAAATCCACTATGATCCTGTGATGCACATGCTGTTTTTTTCATTCATTTTGATAACAGACACAAACACAAGGTGCATGGCTTTTACACGCAACACAATGTATCCACAACATGGCACATTCATAACGCAACAATTTCATTGATTAAATTATCATTGCTATTAGTAATGTCTCTAGGTGTATTAGATTTAAGAATATTTAAGTTTACAAAATGTAATTAATTATGCTTACAAATTTTGAATGCAAAGAAATTATAGTTTTGTTTCAAATTTGTATCGATCAGAGAGATTTTTATTGCAAACTTAGATGCAGAATTACTAGGACACAAGTTTACAAAGTGTATTAATTATGCTTACGAAATTTAAATGCAAAGAAATTTTTATTGCAAACTTAGATTCAAAAAGAAGTTTCACTTTGGTCTTTATATTATCACACAAAAGTATCCAACATATTTTCCATTAAAGAAGAATACAACTGCAAACTTTTACGAACTTCTTTTTTTTAAATACATTATTACGGCACATTTAATTAATTATTTTAACACTAATAGATGACGAAACTGCAACTGTTATTCAAATAATAAACGTAATTGAATTAGCAATAAACGTCAGTTATAGTAAAATCGAAAACGTTATCGCAGATACTAGAAAACGCTTATGATTTCTTATCGATAATTGATAGTGTTTATAAAAATACAAGTACATGTACGTTATATTTCGCCATTATAAGGCGCATGCCAGTGAATTTGAGCTGTGCGAAAATTTCGCAATAATATTAATCGCTAAAGGATTCTTTATCTTATACGTAATTTCACGATCGATTCTCAATTTACAGTAAACACATAATACACACGTTTGAACGTAATTATATTCAAACGAAATATACGAAATTGTTTATAGAAAGCGCAAACTAACCAGAAGTGTCACCATGTGCACGAAACCATTTTTCTTTGTAAAGACGTATCCCCAACGATCTTATATCTTCTTCACTTCGATAAGTCGATTCCTTATCGCACGGAAGAACATTACCGAACAAAATAATTTCTGTAGAAAATTCCGAGTAAATACGATAAGACTATACATTCGTCTCTGTCAAGCTCCCTTACATTCGTGACAGACGCTCGTTACAAACGAATTTTTTTTACCCTTACATGTCTAACGATCCTCACGCGATAATTTAAAACGCGTGAACCGGTATCGCTTACGATTCCAGTTTCTAAACAACCACTACTTATTCCCGATTTAATTACGATACGATTTTACATCGCGAAAACACTTTCACAACCGGCTGTGCGATCTGCCCGTGTCAACAACCCGTGAAAAATGGTCCAAGATGGTCGTCATCCCTTTTAAAGATGGCGGTCGTTTCCACGCTGCTAGGGACTTTAATTTCAACGAATTACGAATGGAAAAATAATCGCTCGATCCATTTTCCATGCTTTGTACGCATATTTATTTATATTTGGATACGTTACGATCGTATCGACCAAGTATGTAACGCGATGTAACGAATACTACGATAATGTAACAGGGGTAGAACTCGCGACGCTTGAAAACATTTATTATCTAAACTAAAATTTATCCTTTCGCGTATATTTAATAAATAGACTTTTCTGAAATAGACAGAATAAAAAAAGAAATAACAACAAGGATTTTTTGGTTAGCGTTGGCCCAAAAACTTCGCTCTGGGGTTTTCGGTTATGATCGTTTCTATCAATCGTAAAACACGTCACATAATGGACGCTGTGGTTTACGCTTCTGTGAGGAGTGCTTACAGTGTTTTCATGGGAAAAAAAGCATAATTTCCTGTGCGAGTCTCCTGTGTATTTCGTGTGGAAATGATAGAAATAGTTATTGAACCTGTATAGTAATCATTGAGCATTCTTGCGTGAGGTGCGAAGTGTGTAGTGAAGAACGATTGTGCACGTAAGTGTGTACGAGCTGCCTAAAAGGGCTTCCTAACATCAAGGACTTATGTTTCAAAAACCATGAACTTTTTTGATAAAATCAATCACGGAAACGATGGTTTCGAGTATGTTTTGTGGTGCTGATATTGCTAAGTAAAAATTACTGTTCACAACGGACTTTTCTAGGCATAGCCTTCGCGTTTCAAAAGACTGCATAGAGACGTCAAGTAAAACGAGCTCGATGTGTCGTCTAACATAACAGAATAAAAACATCAAAGACTTCTCGCCTTTCTACATTAACAGGCTAAAAAATAATAACACAAACAGCATACTTTAGCAAGACCAAACCATCAGCATGTAACAAACTTTACCCATAAACTTTTATGCACAAAGTTTGACAATGCTACTCGTTTTACATACAGCAACAAGAATTGTGTACTCCACTCTGTTAAATTACAAAAAGGGAAACCCACCAGGGGTTTAAAGCGTATTCTTTATTTTTAATTAGTACATGGACATACGTATATACTCGAGCATTCTAAAAAGAGAGGAAAAAAAAGTTGTTTTTGTTTGCTAAACATTGTTTCTACAGAAACAGAAACTTTTGCGCTATTAGGCATAACTTGTATCTACCTGCAGCAAGAAGCACTCTTAAGTTTTGTGAAAATAGTAGACGTATATAGGAAACTTCTATGAAACTTGTAAATGTTTCGATTAAACAGCATAAGGACAATCTTAACGTCAAAGTTTTCAACGAATGGACTTTTCAATCTCTTACTACAGTGACGTTAAATCGGATTTTACATGTGATCCTCTGAACTTTTCTTCTTATATACTAAAAATGTTACTGCATTATTTTCTACCGTGTAATTGTTGTAAGATGTACGAGATCCGTTCGAATATGATATTGTTCTCGGACGAGTATCGCCGCATACCGGATATCCATCTAGTAAGTCCTTTTTTATATTTGCGTTTCAGAAAAGGTTTAAAGGCACCAGAACTGCATTGGCTTCATGCGAGAAAACCCGAAAAATCCAGAAACGCAAAGCCTGGATGATGGGATAAACAACAAGATACTTTTGAGCCTTAGTGAAAGTGAATGTCAAATAAAAAGTGAAATTATGGACAATAATACAGATGGGGACAACTTAAATTTGAGCTGCGGAGAAAATGACATAGTGGACGAATTAAAAATTGCCGCCGATGAAACGTACGATACCCGTAGCGAGGTTTCATCTAGCAGTTCGAATTCTGATTCTAGTCAACCCAGTATAAGCTCCGTTTCAACGAAATCGTCGCGCGGAGATAACAAGCGTAATCGGAAGAATAGGGGAAAACGTGGAAGGTCGAGAGATTCTAAATCATCTAGTCCAGAAACAAAACGTGCAAGATCCAAGGAGAGCAAAGGAATAGCTAAGAGCTACGATTATGCTACAAAATTAAATTACTTATTTAGGGATGCAAGGTTGGCTGCTTTTTGAAATACAAGTATTATGGTCTTTTATGTGTATAGTTTTTATCTTCTACGTATAATCGATACGAATTATGTTTTGTTACCTATTAACTGGCACTTTCAAAAAATACTTATAAAAATTTATGTAAGCATATTAATGTAAATATCAAGAACATGTCAAAGCTCTTTTTATCAGATTTTTCATCATCAAATCGAATAATGCCGAAAATGTCACGCTCTCCAAGGCCAAAGGTGTATGGAGTACGCTGCCCCAAAATGAAGCTAATTTAAATCAAGCTTACAGGGAGTCAAGGAATGTTCTACTTGTTTTTTCTGTAAAGGAATCAGGAAAATTTGCTGGGTTTGCACGACTTTGCACAGAGTCTAGAAGAGATGGAGCACCTATTTCCTGGGTTTGTGTGCATGTCTAACAGAAGCAATTCTAGAAAGTCTAACACGACATTACAAAGAAACTATATACGAATTTTAGGTGTTACCTCCTGGTTTATCGGCTAAAGCTTTAGGTGGTGTATTTAAAGTGGATTGGATATGTAGGAAAGAATTGCCATTTACGGCAACGTTACACTTGTATAATCCATGGAATGACGGTAAGCAAGTGAAAATTGGCCGAGACGGGCAAGAAATCGAGCCTAGAGTTGCAGAAGAATTATGCAGGTTGTTTCCAGAGGATGAAGGTAAATTAGAATACGAAGTCTGTTTGAAAAGAGTGTGCATGCTCAGCATTCGTGTAGGCCTCGTACATGGCTCATATGTAGATAAAAAAAAGTACCTAGTTCTATAACTTACGATAAATATTTGTAGGTATCGAAATGACTCCAATTTTAAGAAAATCTAAGGAAGCAGCGAAACATGTCACAAAATCGTCTCGTTCGTATCGGGACAACAGACCTGTTAATAACAGTTCTAGGTTTTTACGATCGAGAGGTGGTAGGGGACGTAGACTCTTCCTAACCTCGAGATCTCGTTTAGCTTCTTTAGCTAGGGGATCTCACTTAGGTGGGAACGATCATAGAGCATCGAGGGATCATCATCATCGATATGCTAGTTGGTTCAATCGCGGCGATTCTCCTTATTCAAAGTACAGTATACGTTTAACATTGTATCGTTATCGTAATTTTGATACTTTATCTTTAGTAATTACGGATTTCGTAGGGGATACGGTAGTCCTGGATTAGGTGTAGCCGCGGCAGCTGAAGCATACGTAGCAGATTACATGCGTACTATGCAACATCAATTACCTCCGTTGCCTCCTTATGCTGCACCTCATCCGTATGATTCTCTACCTCTGCCACCGCCACCACCCAGGTATTACGACGGACTACCACTGCCACCCGATTATAGTGCAGCCGCTTCTGCACTTGAAAAACGCAGCTATGAAAGAAGTGTAGATGAATTTTTATGGAGAACGGCTAGTCGGCATAGCCGACATAGCGATCATCGATCCTCGCGGGATCATCACAGATACAGGGATCGTAGATAAGACATTTTTTAATATCGTTTTCATCCATTTATACTTTCATTTTTCAATTCATGCACATATTTTGCACATATGCAGGGCTTTCAAGGTATCGCAACACTTACGATCATGCAACAAATGTTTAATCACATAGTTATTTTGTATTAGTGATACAAATTAAAATAGTTTAAAGTTTTTAAATGTACACGTATACATTTAAAGAAATGTGTAACTTTTAACGTAATTGAAACACTATGCGTGTTTTAATAAAAGTGTCATACTAAAAAGCATATAAAGTGCTTTGTATGTGTAATAATCATGAATGAAAATTGGATACTTAATTCGATTAATTTTTTGTTCACGTAATACATAGTACAAGAAAGTAAATAACGAATATATGAGAGATAAAAAAAAAATCGAATTTCACAATGATTCACAATCGATCGAATCCTATATTATTTGCATTTAGCAACGAAGAAGAATAATTTGTACTGTCGATTCAGTAGAATTTATTTTCTTGTTAAGTTTTTCTATCTCGTACGATATAAGTATTATTTATATATTTTTGTAATTCTTACATGTATAAATAGTTTTGCTTATATACATATACATAAACATTCAATTGTGAATCAGTGTGACTATTTCTGTAATCGTGTTTTTGTATTAATATTCGAATTTCCATAATCAAATTTGAAGAGACATATATACAATTTCAACATATGCCATTCTAATAAATAAATAAAAAAAAAAAAATACTTTTGCAGCACTTCGATACAATACATTATAAAATAAATCATTAATAATTCTTCCAGTTGCTGCAATACAAATTTTGTATAAACATTTGTAATTGTTCATTTCAAAAGAGAATATTTTTGTTACAGTCGTCAATATAGGTCACTTATAAATTACAAGTAATTATTAAATCACTATTGCTTAGTTACAGAAACAGCCTAACATCATGTATTTGTATCGAAATCGTTGATTTATGTAGTATGTTTTTGACGCAGTTTCGTAATAAAGTGCAGAATAATTATATTTGTTTCGTGTTTTTTTTCCCAGCTACCTTTCTAGCCGATATATGCCCACTATTTCCTCATTTTTATGGGAAAGAAAAAATGGAAATAAGAGATAAATATTATCTTTCATTCCACCCGCGCAGACAATTCACGGGCGGATATTTTAATCGTAGGCCTCGACTGTCAGAATACACAATTCAGTTTTAATTATGTTATTCAAAACGCAATTTATCAAGTGCACTTTGTGTATTATTTTATATATCGCGATTTGTTCTGTTTTATTGGTCATAAAAAGAAGCTTCTATTTACAGCAGCAGTCAAATTCAATTCGTTTAACAAAAGATAACCAGACAAAGCAAAAATGTTCAGTGGTATCTCGAGCAACTACGAGACCTACCAATTTAGAAATAAAACTTTTAAAACACGACGAAGTGAACGGTCAATCTATAGATTTACATGTAAGCAACTAAACACTTAAATCGTTCAAATGTATATTTAACGTTGATAACATTTTTTATTAGGAAAGTGCAACGTTACTTCGACAAATTTCAAATACTTGCGCGAAATATAATTTGAAAACTCTTTTAATAAAAAGACATTTTTTATACGACTCTACACATAAATCAATGTACTGCTGGATTCGAAAAGTAGCATCAACGAGTTTTACTAAGTTATTTTCAGACATGAAAAATCGTCGAGTTGCACGAAATTATTATAGGTAATTATAACCTTTCGTTACTCGTATATAATTCATAGTTTAATTCGTAAATTATTCGTAGAGAAGTTGACGTTTTAGCACCAAAGACTATGGAGGAATTATATCGCATCGCGAATGATGCGAAAACATTTAAACTGTTAGTCGTTCGACATCCTTTTCAAAGGCTCGTATCGTCGTATAGGTATTTTTCCGTTTTAAATATACATTTCAAGTACACCACAGCTGTTCGTTAATAAAAATATTTCGTGCATTTTAGAGATCGTTTAGAAGACAATTCGAAACATACCACACAAGCTTGGATTTATACTAAAAAAATATTTCGCCTTACAAGACCTCAACTTTTTCATTCGAATACTACGACTGCTAATTTTCAGCGAAAAGTATTTACTGCCGGTAAAAGGTACAATAAATACAATGCAACGAAAATATTTTAATTAAATTCAGAATGATTTTAATACGAATGTTTTTTTTTTAAGATTAAAAATAGTACCGACATTTAAAGAGTTTACTTTATGGCTTTTGGAAAATTCCGAGGAAGATGTTCATTGGGATCGATACTATACACACTGTGGCGTATGTAACATGCAATATAATTATGTTTTAAAGCTGGACGATTATACGTATAGGGAAATAAATTATATTTTTTCAAAATTTGGACTGAATGAGACTACAATATATTTACCAAAGTTAGAAAAAACACACGGTGGACATACCGATTTCGATACGACATGTAAATATCTTGCGAATTTAACGCAAAATATGATTTTTAAATTATATGAAAAATACAAAATAGACTTTGAAATGTACAATTACAACTTAAATCGATATATATTTTGTGCAAGTAAAAAAACTTAAGTTTTGTATTATAGTTTGCGGTACGAAAAAAGTATTTATTTCTTTTTATACAAAAATGTATAGGTACATTCTATAATCTGACATGTTTAAAACGTAATACTATGTACTTTCATAATTATTTATAAAGTTAAAATAAATTTACTACTATGGATACACATTCATTCTTGTAGCATATCATCACACGTACCTTTAACTTATTTATTAATAATCACATTTCTTTTTTATCAACGAACTGTTATATCGGTTGAATTGTAAGAAAATTTATAAACAAGAACGAACAGAACTCACCTACTGGAATTGGTATGTATGTACATATTTATATAAACATACATTTTTAGATGATATTAATATACTGATTCTTTTGTTTCTTGAGTAGTATCTGTCTGTATTTAGTTTGCTCACTGCGAAACTCCAGTCGAGTGCTTATTATCATCAAACACAATGAAGCAATCTTCATCTTCGGCAATTTTACATTTTGATTTGGATTTTTTATCATCAGCAGTAGCGTCATTATTCACGTCATTTTCAATTATAGATATATCGTTATCATCTGTATCGTTAACTTCCAATTTTCTTTTTTTGGGAGATGCAACATCGGGAACTTCAATTTTACGTTTCTTCGGCACGTCTGGTAAAACGGTAACGGTATCAACAATTATTATATCATCATCAGTTTCACACTCCATCTAAACCAAATAGTAAAAGATCGTGAAATATTTGTAAGGATTTGTCATAATGGAAATAGGTTCTGTATTTGCATAATGTATCTAAAAATGTGTTTTGCTTACCTGACCATTCGATGTAGATGGTTTTACCAAATCATCTTCTTTAGGTTTAAGATCTTTCTCATCAGCTAGGATAAGGAAATCAGGACTATCGCTTTTTAAGTTTGGTCGCTCTCTATAGACTACAGTCACAGTTAGCGAATAATTTTGTTGGAAATCATCGACCTTAAGTCTAACACCATCTTTGATTCCAACGTCTTCTAAAAGTTTATCATTATTCTGTTCCGTTTCTCCTTCTTCGCTACTAATGACAACAGTTCCTGTGCCATCTATCATAACATCTGGAGCGATCATATTTAACCTATCCTTCAGCACCGCTTCATCTAATTCTTTGATTTTCATTTTAGATGTATCAACTGCTAGTACAGCTTCTGGCATAGGCGCGCATACGTAGCATTTTGGATTTGGCGGATTAACATTCTTTTCTGGTACTAATAATTGATTACGATGGTTCATTTTTGAACGCAAATACACGGACTTACACCCTTTCAAATTATTCGTAAGAATGCTAAACGCGTGAAAAACAACTATACCAGCAATTATTGCATTCGTAGTTGCAATAGCTGGAATTATATTCCCTGCCATTGCTATAAAAAACAGTAAATATTAATTTAACGCTAATAAAATCTTAATCTTTAGAATGCTACAAATAGTAATTGATCGCTTACATTTTATATCGAACCTTGTTTTTTGAGGTATACCAAAAATGTAAGCTCTTATATTGGCACACGCTGCGACGAAGTCCATTGCGCTTTGATCGTCTTTATCCCAAACAAGATGGTTATTAGGTGACATTTTTTGAGAAGCTTTTAAAGTTTTGCTTAAACTTTTTACTGAGTTGGCAAATATTGTGCCACATTTAGAAATACTCCAACGTTGTTGATCTTTTAAGCCAGGTTCATTGATTTCTTTACTACATCCTGGAACTTTATCACAATATATTATAATAAAAATATATAGATTTGTAATTAAACGGAAATTTTAAATTTAATTATCTTACAAACCTCCATCTGGTAGTCCTTTCCAACTCAATGGAGTAGGCGGCCTTCGTTTCTTCCATAAATTATCCATACTAAGCAAGTACTTTATATCATCGTGAAATAATTTTGTAAATAATTTTTCTGGATCATAATTACATGATTGTGCCCAAGCTTTAGTGGAGACTCTATTAACATTTCCTTTTTCATTTGATTCAGAATTTAGAGCACTTTCACCTGCTGCATCTATAAATCATAATTTTTAAACACGTGCACATATGTGTCTAACATTGTAATGCTTTTGATACACGTTACTATTACCTGCTGCTTCCGGATCAGCGGTATCCGGAGAAACATCTTGATCAGGATCTTCTTCGCCAAATAATTGACTATATAAAATATGAACATTTTTAGTACAGTGTGTCATAAGTCATTTCTAGAGACATACCAATTATAAAAAACCTACTTGAATAAATGTTTTGCCCAAACTATGCAGTGGATAGGCTCACTGGGTGTATTACGAATTGTACAACCAGGATAGCTCTTTTGTGCAGCTTTCGGAGTACATTCGTAACATTGGCTCATTCCTTTCTTTATAAGTTCCACTTGACCTTCGTAACCAGCAGTGCCAGATTCTGTTAAGGGTACATCTGCTGCTAAACACATTCTATTGACGTGATTTCTCGCTGCTCGATTATCAAGCGCGTTCATAACTAATGAGAACTTCTTAAAAAACGATACCCCATAATCTGAACTGTAGACATAAAGAATTATAATTGACTAAGAAAAATGAACCCATGTTAAAAAAAAATGAAAATACCTACGATGTAATACTGTCATGATAATGAACTATTTTTGCATTTGGATTAAACGTCAATGCTGTTTCTTTTGCAACATCCGCTTTCGATTTTCCCACATGTTTCTTTTGAAACAAAAATTGCCTATTTAAATTGCTAACATCGATCGTATCCAAATCGATCTGAAAACAACGTGTTTATTTACTATTCGTACAACTAAAGTATAATTAATACGATAAAAATAATACTCGTTCGTGTCTCGATGTTTTTTTCAGTGTAATATAATAATGTATGGTAAGAGATCATAATAATACGAATGCCGGTTCCAAATTGCAAACAATGCTCCAACACACCGAATTGCGATCATACTTACAATTTCAATATCGGAAAATCCTGTCATAACGAGATTCTTTAATATCTCACATCCGATACCACCAGCGCCCACGATAAGTACTTTACTCTGAAGTATTTCATTCTGTAAATTCTTACTAAACACACCGTCGATATTGGCCGCCATTTTTCAGGTTAAACACGACAATCAGTAATCTCAACTACGACGCTACACGATATACACATTCGTATCACCTCCCTATGAATGCACCTGAATGCACCCTGGAACGAAGTACAACCGAAGTACGGAAGTACGCATAGTGATGGCATACCTTTATAACGTGTGAGAAAGCTTTTTATATTCGCCACTAGAGGGCTACAAGTACTAAATGGTTCTTTGTATTTCGGAAGTTTCATTCTCATTGGACTAGAATCATTACTCTAAATTTTTACCACACTATTTGTTCAATCATGTTACGAACTTATCATTCGTTCAAAAAGCTTTCCTTACGATTTTTTAATTCTCAGAATATGTGAAAAATGAATTTTCATATCAAGCCATATTATATGTTCGTTTAAATATCATTTGAAATTCTTATACGGGAAAAATAAAAATGTGAAGAATCGTTCGTAAAGTTCGTATAATAAAATAATTACTGTATAATTGTACAAACTATCAATAATAACTAGATTTATTTATTGTATGGCTATTATATTTCGTCTTCGTTATAAATAACAAATTTCGTAAGTGCAACAAATAGATTCGTTGCGATTGCTTGGTTGGTAACACGTAAATGCAAACTTGAGTAAATTTACTTCCGAGGACGGAAAAAATGTCAAAACACGTATTAAGTTTGAAATTTGCATTATTAAATATTTGTCAAAATTTTAATCGATAAATAAATAATGGTTTCGAGCCAGTATTTTTATGTACATATATTTGTGTACATGTACGTATCAATTAATTATTGATACAAATACTATTGATATATACATAAACATAATAAGAAACTAATAAACATTTTAATCTTAAGCACTATATTTAATTGTGAATCCAATCTAAAACAACGTTTCAAGAGAGGAAAGATATCAGTATGATACCTATACGATAGTTGTGTAAGCACATGTTTACATACCTCTTAGAATACCTATTAAAAAAATAATGTAAATACATATTATTTTACAGATATCGTACATACTAAAACAACGAGAATTATGTAATATTTTGCTGTGCAAAAATGTATTGTTTATTACGGCCTTGTTTCCAAAGAAGCTTTCGACTTGTCACAAAACTCAAGTTGAAATATGTGTGTGTTTTTATCAGTCTTGTCATATTGCTTGATTTTTTTGGAGCATTCACACATTTCCTCGAAGTGACGTATGATTCAAATTTTGTTTATCCCTATGAAGGCGATATACACGAATTTGTAAATGCATTACGACATAACGAAAAACCTGCTGTCGATCCTATAAATGAGTACAATTATACGTTTATACTTAATAATAAAGAGAAATGCGTAGATGCAGCATATAGTAGTTATCGTGTTGTGTACATAGTGAAATCTGCGATAGAAAATTTTGAGAGAAGATCCGCTATTAGAAAATCTTGGGGTTTTGAAAAAAGATTCTTCGATGTACCTTCAAAAACAATTTTCATGTTAGGTGTACATCCATATGACGATGAAGTTCAAACAAAACTAGAAAAAGAAGCTGCAAAATATAAAGATATTATACAAGCGAGTTCAGCGGACTCATACTACAATAATACCATTAAAACTATGATGAGCTTCAAGTGGTTAGTAAAATATTGCTCAAATTCAAAGTTTTATATGTTCGTCGACGACGATATGTATGTTTCTGTGAAAAATGTTTTGAGATTCATAAGAAATCCAGCTAACTATCCGGATTATCTGAAGGAACACAAAAAGTTTGGTGCTCATAAAAGGGAAATTGGAGATTCCAATGAAATAAACGAATTGGATAATAAGAATTTAAGTATGCAGAGGAGTACCGATATTTTGAATGAAAAGGATTCATTCATATACAAAACTTTAAACACCTTTAATACGGATATAATTCATAAATTTAAAGAAGATTTAAGTAATGAAACTTCAAATACAGTTCCTGTGCTTAAGACCGATACTTTTATAGAAACATATACAAATTACAGTAAAAAGATACAGTCTAACGAGACAGAAACTGTAAAAACTGAATTTACTTTAAAGAGAAGAAAAAGACAGATTTTTGATTTTGAACTTCCAGATGATGTTAGGTTATTCGCAGGGTTTGTATTTGTATCTTCGCCTCATCGTCATAAATCTTCTAAATGGTATGTTCCGCTTAGCGAGTACCCTTACCATCTATGGCCACCATACGTTACAGCCGGTGCATATATATTATCAAAAGAAGCCCTTTTAGACCTGTACTATGCTAGTTTTTATACAAAACATTTTAGATTCGACGACGTCTATTTGGGCTTAGTAGCGAAAAAAGCGGATATCGAACCTTTTCATTGCGAAGAATTTCATTTTTATAAAAAAGATTATACAAAATTTAATTACAAATACGTAATATCATCTCACGGATATGGAAATCCAAACGAGTTACTTAACGTATGGAACGAACAAAAAGCACTTGGTAATGCTTAAATGTATATTATTTGTAAACATTATTTCCATACGAGTAAATATTTAAAACGAGAATTATATTATCAAGTTCAATATATTCTTAGATGCGTTTAATTATAATATTTATTAACTACGTTTACTTATCGTGTTCAAAGGAATATAACGTCTTTCTTCGTAGTTTATAACAAACGAAGACATAACGATAATGCAATGTATATACAACCTAGATAAAATTGATTAAATAAGAGTTAATTTTAAATCGATAGATCTCAAGATATAAATGAATAGAATGCAGGTGAATGAAAAAGTATATAGAGGTATTCTTAATATCCTTTGTATAAAATTAATTTATTGTAAAATACATTCGAAAATAAATTGCTATCTAAAATAGACATAAATATATTAATCAGTCTTTATGTACATAACAAGACATAGTAGATTCCAGTTTTTTGAATAGTTTTATGGAAATGACAAAGCAGAAATCTAATATTATGAGAAGTTATTATAGTCAATACTAATATACATGTTAAATATTCAGTTTAATATTCAATGTATGTTATAGATATTATTTATTTATAAACTTTGTCGAAAAGTAAAAAGTTACCATTGCTTTAATTAAAACCATTCTATTGTAACAGTAAAATATTTACAATTTTGTACTCATGAAACTGGCGTTACTGGTCTTATCCCTATAATCATATGTAAGGCTTTAATAATTATATTTCTTAAATTCATATTATAGTCGATATTGTTGTTTCTCCATATTTGCTTTCACTAACGATTGATCAAGATTGGAAGCTTCCCTTTTAATCATATTCAGTAAAAGCTGCGAACTCTCCAAGATCTGTAACAATATCGGATTTTATATTTAGTATTCGTATTAATTATGTTAATCGAATATTAATGTACCTTTATATATGCTGTTTCTGTATCTGAAATAGTTCTATCGTATTCATTTCTAACAGCTATCTTTCTAGTTAAACTATCGTTTAAACGCGTTAATTTATAAGACAATGATTCTATTTCTCTTTGTAAATTATTTTTCTCTTCCTCTTGCGATTCAATTTGTGCTTGCAATTCCGTACGGTTCGATTTCATTTCTTCTAAGCCTAAAGAGAATAAAGAAAAAAATAGTGTTAATAACATTCGAAATTTACACTTGCTCGTTGCACAAACGATAATTATAAATTATAGGTTATATAGAAAGTTATTTACACTTGACGAGTTCTTGATTATACGCCTGTAAAGCAGCACCGTGCTGAGACATTTCAAACCCTCCATGCACAAAATAATAATCGCAATGTGTCCACGAGAAAAGAAACAGACTTTTATTCGCTACAACAATTTATTGACAGTTTACCGACAATTTACTTCAAACAGATAACGTGCACGTAACCAAACTTTTCAGTTTTACCGCGAAGCTTACAATTAGAAAAAAAGTTACTTTCGACGCACGCGCAATTGTCAGTACGAAAGTCAGTTCGTTAGAATTTAAAAATCACAATTGCAATTTATTTATAATACATCCGTGGAATGTACACCGATAAAAGATTGGAATTCAAGTAACATATTTATCGTACAAATAATGCTTTCACAGTTTCGATTATGATATCATTAAAATATCAGCATTGTTTATTCGTACAAAGAGAAATTTTATATTCAACTGGCGTCCTTATAAGGATAATAGTTGAATATTAACGAATATTAACGAATATTAACTATAGTTAACATGTTAACGATCAGGAATACTAATTATTCTATTTTAATAATTGAATGTTTATTCGGTCGAGTAACTATAGTTACTATAGTAACTTGTTGATGTTAGGGCTACACATTGTTAGGCTTGTTTGGAAACAATAAATATTTTTAATCTCGATTTAGTAACCAGTACTATTTCGTAACTACTACAAAGAAATGCAATTTGACTAATAAGTAGCTTAAATGACAAAAAAAGTATAGTTATAAATACAACGATTATCATTTTCAAGGAAAGAACAATAATCGTTAGTTGGAACGTCGAATTATAAATCATACAGATATTATAGTAAGCATTAATACTTACTATTGAATTGATACTTAAATAAAAGAATGTGTTATCTTTTAAATTTAAACGGTATAAAATATATATTATCGTTGATATTTTATATTTTCGCATTTCTACAGTTTCTCATAGATTTAATTGAATCTTTGAATTGATGTCTATTGTACAATTTGTTTTATATTTAACGGTTAATCGAATCTTTAATCGGTAGATGAATGCATAAATCTTTGAAAAGATCAAATAAAACCCATGCAGTAGTGGAGTTACATACATATCTGCCACTATGTATCGAGCAATTAAAGAGTCGGAGGATAAAGTTTTCTCTAACAAGAAAATATTGCACGAGAAAAACAATGCAGCTCCTTCACCTTGCCTATTAAAGGCTTCACGATGTGCTTTCGTCCGGCAAGCTACAATAAATGCACCTTTCGCTCGGAATCTTCGCTCCAGCCAGAAAGCGTGAAAGCAACAGAAACCTGTGTCAGTCGTGCTCTACCTACATTGATCGATCGATCGTAGATAAATCAATATCGCGTGAACAGTGCTCGCGATGATTTCCCGTGCATCTTTTCAAGCATAAACGCGTAGCGTTTCGTTGAAATACACAATGTTTCGGATACCGTTAATAACGATACGTGGAAAATCGAGCGAACGATATGTTCCGATATCGTTATACGTTTGACCAGCGCGTTTCGACGATAAAAGTACGGTTAGTGCATAAACAACAACTCGTAACCACTCGTAAAACATTTTTACGACATCACGTTCGATAGCTTACCGATCAAATTTAATTTTTACAGACTACTGCAACATGGATATGTTTCAGGTATGACGATTTCGAGATTAATATTATTATTTGTACCATCCGTTAATATCTGTGATAATATTGAGAATTTTTTTATCGTCTTATCCCCCTCCTCCCGTGTATCTATCTTTACTATTTAGATCGAAATTTTCTTCTAATTGTATATACATTGAAGAAACGAAGAAAAAATGACAGGTATCGTAAAGCAATATGCGTTTGATAGCAAGTTGACACAACTTATGGCGCTTGCGCAAGTAAAATTTTCAGTCTTTATCCTTTTCGTGTTTTTGTATATATTTGTATATATAAGTACACACATTTTACAGATTCTTTTCTAACGAATCTGTAAGAATCAGGAAACACTTGTGCTGCGATCAAAATTAAACGAAATATACAAACGTGATTTTGATGGTACCATTTTTTCGAGTCGTCTGTTAAATTCGTTTATGTACGTACGGAAAGAAAATTTGATTATCTTTCGATATCGTTTATCGAAAATGTATGCCCAGGTAATATGTAGAACGTGGGTGACAATTGCATACGGAATAATTCTGTTACCGATCGAAGATGCACGCGACCTTGTCAAATGACATCACGGTACTAAATTAGGATTTCTTTACCGGCGCAAGTGTATGACGACACGCACACACCATACGAAGGATTCTATAATTACGTGTTTTACAATTCATTTTCCAAGAATGCCACTCCCATTTTCATTACCCACGTATCAATAAAAAAAATAAATCAACTTTAACAACACTTTTACCCTGATAAATAAACAATATTTATACTCGACGTACGACATCGTCCTGTACGATAAATATTACTTATGCTAATTGAATCCTATCCTATCGAACCTATTATCCTACTAGTATTATCTTATTGAACCTAAATAGTAAAAAGTATATTACTCTGAGAATATTATAATACGAGCATTACTTTCGATATCCTTTTATGTTGTTGCATATTGTATGCATTTTCTAGTTTCTTTCGAATTCCTTATAAATGCATAAACATCCGCAGTCTAATTATCGGTATTAACAACACAGTTAGACTACATTTCCAATAAAAATTATACCACCAGAACACAAATTAACTTATTTTTATTAAATTATGATTTTTCTTTCCAGGCAATAAATGATATTTATATCTGAAATTAATATTAATCGTTGAAGTCTATGATATAAATAATAATGTACTTTTGCATCGATCAGTATTTATTAAGTAAGTTTCGTCGATACCTCGACATTTTAGATGGCTAGTTTTGCTATTTAAATATTTAACAATATCATTATTACATTTCTATAATTTTTAATTGATTTTTCTTTCAGCTATAATATGTATGTCAGCGGTACCATGATATAAATTAATTTTCAACCTTGACATTTTTGCAAAGAAATTGTACCAACTTAGGTATCAGAATGACTCATACTTCAAGATACATGGGATATCATGCTAGCACAAATCGAGATTATTTAACGGATGGTGATGAGAGTCATCATGCTCCGTCGGAGCATACAGTATCCGAATATATTGTATCCGCAGACCATACTACAATGGTAGTTTGCAATTATATGAGTAACATAACAGTAAAAACTTGTTGTACACATTATGTATGTTTACATTCCATAGGTAAAAGCACTGAAAAAAGACCGACCCGAGAAATATGAAAAAGAAGAAGGAAGACGATCACGAAGCACACCTAACAGCCGTGTTTCTGTATTATCTGGATCTTCTAGGCACAGTCTTCATCCTCTCAATAAGAGCGCTTCACACGGTAGCATATGCGACAATGGATCAGATGTGTACGTTACGAGTGCTGCGTACAGAGCAACATCAGACATAAGGTTGTAAATATAACACTGTAACATTACTTATACAACATTATGTATTAATCGCTGTTATTTAATCAACAGTCATGCATCGCATCACAGTCTAACTCCAAGTTCGAGACTGGGTCATCGGGCACCTAGTCACTGTAGCTACGGTTCTGCAAAGTCAGTAAAATCACACGCATCCAGAAAGGATGGTATTATTATCGAAACTATGTCGACACCTAATCCATTTTGTCCAAATACCAAGGGAATTTGCTGCCTTATGTTACTTCTCAATCTTGGTTTAATTCTTGTTACGTTAGGTTTTGTTATAGTTATTCAATTTTTCCAACCATTGATAGTTTGGTAAGTACATAGTCAACAAAAATAATTAAAAAGGAAACAACATCTAAAGTTTCTCCTTGTTTATTCTATATTTTCTTTCAGGATTTTAGGAATAGTGTTTCTTGTATTTGGATTTTTAACTCTGATGGGAAGTCTTCTATACTGTGTACATGTATTTAGAAATGCAAAGCACCCGCACGACATTAATCCAGAAGATCTTTATTGGACGAAATATTGGCAAGGACACGTAGGTTCGGCACCCGAAGTGTATTACAAAGCTGAAGATAAGTATCAAGATGACGGATACAGTGATCGTTTAAGCAAATATTCGAATAAATATTACGATCGTCAAAGATACTAACGATAATACTATTATATTCAATATGTTTTGACGTTAATTATCAGATAAGTGTAACAAATTAAAAAACTTCGAGACAAAAGAAGTTACGTTAATGGTAAATATTAATTTGTGTTATGAAAAATTAATCATTATAAAATAGCCAAATAATCAGTGTTTAAATTGGTTTATTTAATTTTTTTTAACATAGAAAATTTTGATCCTCTTTAATAACGCGTATCTTCTTGTTATCACGCATAACAAAAATAGAAGATAATATAAAAAGTAAATAAATTGACATAAAACGAGAAATAAATCTTTTTTTATACAAAATAACAAGAAATGAACTAATTTTAATAAAGCTTATTTAAAGAAAAAAGTTACATTCTATTAATATCAATGCTAATAACATATTTCACCAACCACAGACCAAAATTATATTTTGTATAAAACGCTTAGTTATTTATTTGATACAGATACGGATATAAATTACAAATTCTTTAACTGTACATATTTTCTATATAATGAATTAAAAGATTAACAAGTGAAAGTCCTAGCCTTACAATTATTTTACAATATTTCAATCTTTGTGTATCGAATAACTGTATTTTATTTATCAAGTTATAAACAAACACAAAATAATTTATCAATACATTATTATTATCGTAATTTGCGTATTACTTTACCACGTTTTCGCAAGTCCAATTGTGTTATTAAACAGTTGTTGGTTGTAAAATGTTCCATCGGTTTCCATTATGAAATAAAACCATTTGCCACGAATTTTCAATGATGTGTAAGTGTTCCTTTTTATCACAGTATTAACTTTTATCTTAAAAATAATAAAGAAACTACTAATCTCTGATGAAATAAGTCTTTTAAATAAAATTACAAGAGTACAAAGAACAAAAAAGAACATGTAAGCTAACTGAATTTACTACAACTATTGGTTACCTCTTCCACAGGAATTGTTAAAATTCTTTCCTTTTTCAATAAATGATGAGTAGTTAGAGTTACGTATTTGCCTCCTTTGTGTAAAATGATACACCTTATAAATCGTCGAATTATCAAATGCGACATAATAGCAGTGATAGGTCCTAAATATAAAAATATAAATTTGAAATAAAGTCGTATTGTTACCTATGTGCATACTATGAAAATTAATTGTGAATGTATACTATTACCTATTAGCATATTTATAATGTAGAATATATTGTCTTTAATTGCCTGTTTAACTTCTTTCCACAATACACCGTTCGTCCATGTCAACAATGCTTTTATATCAACTGTGTAATATGCGAGCATCATTGAGCCAAAAGACCATCCGAATGTGACACATCGCAATATATTGGTAGCTATGGTAGATTTAGATCTAAACAGTATTACATTATTCTGCACATTTGTATTTACATGAAATATATCCAGATCCCGTTGGTTAGTCGAGTCCCTGAATATCATAAAAACAAACGTTGATGTTTTTAAAACACGTCGAAAATCGTTTATACAAGAATTTTACGGATTACTATTTGTCTAAGGAAGCAAACTTCTTATACAAACTATGCAATACTGTACAGTACCTTGTACTTCTTGCTTTAAGTGCACAGTTAGGTGAAGAATGATACGATTTACAAAATACAGGAGCTTTTGATTTAGAATTCTTTGCTAAAGGCCGGTAAAAGAATGCCAATTTACTAATTACATCGGCGCGTACAACAGCATTCTTCAAACACAAATGATTAAACATTGTTACAATCTATAAATACTATACTCGACTATATTATTCTCCGGCATCAGCTGGTGTGGTTAGGTCTGATAGGTTAGACTGCATCACTGGATTAGTCTGAGCAAGTCTGGATGAGGGTAAGTAAGACTAAAAAGAAATGCTCGTAAAAACGCAGATTAGCTCAGACTTGAGACTCTTAGCAACTCTAACAAGTGGACCTTGGTGGACCTCAGACATCAGCTCAGCAACCTCATTCCACCTGATTCCACCTCAGTCACCAAAATTTGCTAAAATCGAATGAAACAATGAAGAAACTTGATGAAACCACGTGCTACTACTATAGCACACTATAGTTTAGAAATATTTGTATAGTTCAACGTCTCAGTATGACACTGTCTTACTGTCGACTAATGGGACATTATTTCTATAAAATATATAAGTACCTACTTACATAAACATATTATTATAGCATTGCAAACTTCATTTATTCAATAACTTAATTCAATAATTTAATTAAATAAAAGGAAATTCAAATGTCCCGCCAGATCAGTGGCGCTATCTTGCGGCGAACTTCCGAACTAATTTCGGAGTTTGGTCAGCGCCTCTCTCGGGAAAACGCTCAAGTTTGTCCTCAATAGTTCCTTTTTTCAGTGCTAGATGGCGTTACTTTATTCTGCATTTACCTTATTATGGTAATATATCGACACCTGTCGGTAAATAACAATTTAATGGCGCCATCTAACAATGAAAAGAGGAACTAATCGAGGACAAACTTGAGCGTTTTCCCGAGAGAGGCGCTGACCATACTCCGATAATTAGTTCGGTATATTCACCGCTAGATGGCTATTTATTTGAGCAAAAATAGCGGGAACTCGCAAGAGAAGCTGTGATAGTTTAAAAGCTTAAAAGGAAGGCTAGTTAATAATAAAACTAAAAAGAATACTGACTACAGATATATACGTACATTGAGTAGACCACAGTAAATTTAATACAGAAGAGCTTAGGTGAACAAGGAAGAACATGTGTAAATAAATAATCGACGCGGTTGCTATTGTTCCAACAAAATTAGTTTACTTGTATTAAGAATGTATTACACTATCTGAACACAAAATATTCCAAAACAAAAGCCAAATAGGAAGCATCATAGAAATTGTTACATTGTAGAACCAATTTCCGTATATCATTGAATCCATAATACTAAAAACGTATGCTTGCTTTATGGCACGATATCCCCTAAACAGGATTGAGAGAAAAGGCTCGGTAGTAAAATTGATATATGTGTAACACATTATGAGAACGCTTGATGTCACGAATGGATGTAGAAGAATCCATAGAAAAGAGATTACGCTGCGAAATCTGGAACATAAACGTATGTTAAATTCTGAAAGTGATGAAAAGTAAAGCTTTAATTGCACGTAACTTGATAATAATGCGCGCAAGTATAAAGTAAGGATACCTTATTGTGCATAAAAAAATATTACTTGCTTAAAGGAGAATAGCTTACTTGCTGGTAGAATTTTGTTTTGGTGTTATCGGCAGAATAGCAGGCGCATAAACTACAGCAGCGACAAGCGCTAACGAAAAATTGTGCATCGCTAAACACATTAATACAGTGGCCAGTTCTACTGACGCGATTACACAAATTAAAGCTGCATTTTTAAACTTCATTTTCCTACAAAAAATGAAAATTTATTTAAGGCGACATTATCACATCGTTGAATTAATGTTATAATCGCCAAAATTACCTTCTCGAATAAAGTGGCAACATTACTGTTAAAACAGTTATAGCTGCAAAGCCAAAATATATAGAATCTTCTGTACGAAGATTCCATAATTTACTACCAATGTAAGTTAACGCATGAGGAGACGATGCGATTACAACTCCACAAATGTGTGCCCACAATATCTCTGAAGTTATAGTTCCAATATCGAATCCATCTTTCTATAAAATATACTATATTAATGCCAAAGCTTTCAGCATCTATTCGATAAAACTTAAAGTACTATTCAGAATAAACGTTAATATAAAAGTATGCGACACGGTATAAACGTAACGAAAATAACAAACCTTTGATTGCTTTGAAGTAGTACTTTTTTTATTTTCTATAGAAGTGGATACTTGTAGCCTCTGCCACATGGAAAATGCTTTAATAAATACTATGGCAATAATTAATACTAGGGATCTTATATAGAGCCCTGAAATGATCATAATTATCAAGTGTATAAAATTCGGATCTGTAATATAAATAAATATAAACGATGTGAATACATAGATCTACACTTACCAATAGAAATATAAGTATCAGTCGATGGAAGTAGATAAAAAAAGTAAGACTGATGAAAGCGTTCTAGTAAATTGTTTAGCGATCGTATTATACTCTCTACTATACGACCTACTTGATAAAAATTTTCATCGGAATTTTGTTGTCCAGGTTTCTCGAAACCTTCCAAAGTGATCGCTTCTATACCGAACCTTTAGTGATACCATTTACAGGAAAATATTAAATTATATTAAATATGACAACTACAACCTCTAAACTATTAACATTTTTCTGAAAATGCAATACATTTATACCTATGAAAGAGTCCATGATTTCCTGTTGGAACTCCAGTAGCCTGAGTCGCAATCATCATCAGAAGCGTATTAAAATGATACCACCAATTTTTAAATTTATCTTTATATTTAATATCGAAACGTCTTTGAAACGTTTGTCTAATTCCTCCTTTAGCAATCATATTTTGCGCTAAATTAAAAAGGTCTAGGTTCGGTAGTTGTCCATTTAATCCTTCTACCTAGAAAAGTATTGAAGTATTATTAGCAAAGAATAATCAATTGATTTAATGTTTGCTTTTTTAATTCGTTATGTCATAATAAAAATAAAGATACACCTTAACATCAATAGAGGAAATCTTCATTGAATGTAATTCTAAGTTAATAGCTGCTTGAATGGAACCAGCACGACCTGAAAGGTCTCCAGATATTAGCACACCTTCATTACCACTCGTAACTCCATGGTACGCGTCTAGCCATGCCTGAATTCCTAATTGTTCATGTTCTGTAATTAAGAATATAATGTCTTTTGCCCAGTATTTCTGCCCTGGAAACAAACAAAAAGATGTATCAATAAAATGAATATATACATAATCATTTAAATATGTACAATATTTCTGTATAAAGAATTAATGAAACACTTACTCCTACAGAATTTTGCAAATGCAAGAAGAAGAGCAACAGAAGGAGCAGTGTCCAAATAAATACTGTAAACTGGTCTGAAGGGGACACTAACTATAATCGCTTCTGTACTAGCCGCTCTTGGAGCTCTTATGATTCCATATATATTTTGCCCTGTATACTAAAGAAATACATGTTATTACACAACTACGAATATAAATATTTAGACGACTTTTCAGTGACAAAGTATTTAAAAAAATGTATATTTACCCGTTGTTCTTGGAAAGGATATATTAACGAGAAATTGTGTACAAAAACATCTAATTGAAGTTGATTTAATTTAGCGGCCAGCCACGCGTACGGCATTGCATCCGGATAGCGTTTCATTTCGTGAATTAATTCTAGATAATATTGTTTCGATGTCTGTTCCAAGTTACTTTCTTTCGTAACCAATCCTGGTAACAATGCATTTTCAGAGAAATATGTATCTGAAATAAAAAACAATAATGTACGAATATTATTTGGACTTACTTTATTACATCTTTACAAATATCTTAAATAAAAACATAACCTAGCATTCTCTTTTGAAACGACACATGAATGAAACACCTACTGTCATTAAACGTCGGTAAAGCAAGAAGTAATATCCAAGCAATTCCACTGATATAAAGAAGAAAACACAGCGGTCGTTCCCATTTTAACAATAGTTTTATTACTTTTCCAGGTCCAGCTCTAGGATCTGTCAACAAACCCATTTCAACCCCTTGTCCTACACATGCGAATCTCGTGGTATCGAATTTGTATTGTTATATAAAAGAGAATTGGATACGTCTTATCAGAGCACTCCTAATCTAAGCGCTCCTAAGTACACAACTACACATATTATATAGTTCAGTTATAAACTGACAATGATAATTGAACGACATCAAGAGACATATATGATACATCATATGCAGGGGGCCAAAATTTCGGCGTTTTTCAGGTCCTGATTTTGAATGCGCATGCATCTTCTAACTATCTGAGACAGGGACGACTTAAAAACTACAGAGCCCAGATCAAAACAACTGCTTCCCTTTGATGCTTCCACGTTCCACCTTCCATGAACCATCCCTGGCATCACTGATCAAAGTGCCCCTCCCCTAATTGCAATGTTGATTTCTTACCAGTTGTCATTACTGAAGTAAATACTAATAAATACAGCTAAAAAATGGGCGATTTCTTGGCAGCTAACAATACTTGCGGCCAAAATTTATTGCGTTTAGTGTCTCGTGGAAATGCTATTATAGCTGAATTTATGAGATTGAAGGATTATGTACCGCCAGTGTTTAGGTTATTTATACCTTTGAATATTATATGTTTTCATAGTTTTTTACTATATTGTAGTTTTGAAATTTATATTGATTTTCTTTTACTTTACAGCTTGGATTCCAAACAACTAGTTCAAAAATACGGATCGATCATAATTGATTTTACATACTTTAAATCAGTTAGCGTTTATGAGCAAAAAATAGAAAATGATCCGGTAAGTAGATGAAAGTAACAAGAATGTATAAATAAACATACATTGTTTTTATCTCAATTGGTACTTTTAATAGGTTCTCCAAAAAACAGACGAGGAGTTAAGAAATAATTTTTCCGATATAATTTCAAGGTTTTACTTAGCTTTTGAAAGTATACACAAATACGTTACAGACTTGAATTTTTACATTGATGAATTAGAAGATGGAATATATATTCATCAGTCCATAGATTCGATCATGCTCAATGAAGAAGGAAGACAATTAATGGTACATGGGACAATTAATTAGAAATAAGAATACATTTCTAGAACTTTTAATTTTTTACAAAATTCAACACTTATATTTATGTTAATAGTGCGAGGCTGTATATTTATATGGAGTTATGTTATTATTGGTGGATTACTATTTCGAAGGATGCGTAAGAGAACGATTACTCGTATCTTACGATCGGTACAATGCTCAACGTTCGTCCTCTACGCGCGTCGACGATATATGTACGTTACTTCGTTCAACAGGATTTTCTAAAACTTCTAGTAAGCGACCTGCAAATTATCCTGAAGATTATTTTAAGTGAGTCCTTTACAATATTTTATGTTCTTAATATTTAAACATTTTTAAACTTACAAACATTTATTTTACAGGAGAATACCAATAAACGAGTCTTTGATAGAGCAAATTATTGGTCGTTTACGTTCAGATGAAATATACAATCAAAGTCTTGCCTTTCCACATCCGGAACATCGTAGCGCTGCCTTTTCCACTCAAGCATCAATGTTGGTTGTAATTTTGTCGTTCAAGCCTACAATGTTACACACGCATACAGCTAATATGAGAGAAATAGTCGATAGATTTTTCCCTGATAACTGGGTAATCAGTATTTATATGGGGATAGTAATAAACTTATACGATTGGTGGTTACCATATAAGGCTGCGAGAACGGCTCTCAATAATAGACTCGAATCGTCGAATGTAAAAGTAATCGCACAAAATTATGGTCAAAAAATGAAGGTAATTATGTGTTCACCTTTTAAAATAGAATATTTATGTTATTAACTGTATTAAAAATTTATTTCAGAAATTAATATCTGAAATAGAAGAGGTACAATTAGCTGTTACTCTAGATGGAAGTGCAATAGGATCGTTGGTAAAATTGGTAAGGGAATGTAACGTGACGTTACATTGGATACTTCTACATACCGCGATGCCAACAATATCGTTAGAAGACTCAAAGCGTTCACGTATGCTCAGGCAATTGGTAGTAAACGAAAGCAAATATACAACAGTTGATTGTCTTCAGTTATTGTTAAGTACTGCCCAAATCGAACAAGATGTCAAACAATTGTACAAAGATGTACGTGTAATAATACATCCCGTATTATGCGATCACATTTAAGATTAACAAAACGTATTTCATTAACTTTACTTTTTAATTTGTAGTTGTTATTTGGCAAAGAAACTAAATGGCTTAGAGATAAAGAGGTATGTGTTGAACGCATAACAGACCTTGCCCAAATATTTGGCGGTAATAAATCTCTCGATGGTATCGAAAGAAATCAAAATTTACATTCGTGGTTTATAACGATAAGCAAGCATATCGATTCATTGCAACAAGAGGATGGAAGGAAAATAGTACAATTATTACAGGCCTTAGAACAAGTGCAGAGTAACTACGATATAAATCGCAATACATACAAAATGATTTTATATTAATCTACGATGGGTTATGATTTTATCTGTAATTTTTTTAGAATTTCATCAGTTGGAAACTAATTTACATATATCGCAGCATTTAGCAGATACGTGTGAAATATTACATAATATGTTGCGAACAGCAAGTATAACGGAAGACACTATGATTAGTTTAAATATAGTGACGGATTGTTGCTACGCGTGGAACATAATGGAATCGTTTATTGATACAATGCAAGCTAGTATAAAAGAAAGCCCTCCGACTGTAATAAAATTAAAAGCCCTCTTTTTAAAAGTAAATTGTAACTTTTACTCGAACTTGATACACCAGTACTTATTACGTTTATAATTATTTTAAACATTTATATCTCATGTTTTTAGATGGCTTCGGCTTTGGAGACTCCTTTATTAAGAGTAAATCAAGCACGGAGCGCAGATTTATCATCGGTATCGCAATATTATAGCAGAGAATTAGAAAAATATGCAAGACGTGTTTTGCAAATAATACCCGAAACTGTGTTTGGTTTACTTGCTCAGATAGTACACCTTGAGACCAATGCTTTCAAGGAAATCCCTACGAAATTACCAAAGGATAAATTGAAAGAATATGCACAATTAGATGACAGATTAAAGGTATATTCCACTTGTGATTTCTCTTTGAATAAATTTCCTATTATTACTACGTAAACGCAATGGTTTCTTTTAGATGGCTAAATTAACATATGCCGTGTCGGTATTTACAAAAGGAGTACTGTCTTTAAGAAGTGTTCCATTAGGAGTATTGAGAGTCGATTCTCATCGACTTTTAGAAGATGGTATACGCCAAGAACTCGTAAAAAAAGTTACCTTAGCTTTGGACAGCGGTCTTGTTTTCGAACCTAAATCAAAAGTAAGCCTTAGATTAAAATTGTTCGCTCTATAATCGTGTTTTTTTTTTTAAAGATTACTTCTTATGTCAATACTGCATTATTTTAGACGTCTTTAACGCAAAAACTTGATAATTTAGCTGCAATTATAGATGGTTACCGTAAATCATTTCAATACATTCAAGATTACATAAATATTAACAGCTTAAAAATGTGGCACGAAGAAGTAAGTAAACCCGCGAATATTTAACGAGCTTCTGTATAATAACTTGTATAAGTACTTTTAAATACTCGTAGATAACATATATTATAAATAACGCAGTGGACGAAGAATGTACAGGTTCTACTTGGACTCCAGAAAGATCGTGGAGATACTTTCAAGAAGAAAAACATATATCCGTATTGGATAGTAATTCTGTAACGTTCATTGGTAGACTTGCTCGCGAACTTACTCGTATAACTGATACTAGGTAAATTTCTTTTGCTAAAAAAAAGTATCTTCACTATACATCCAGTCGTAATAATAATCCACATAGAAGACCTTAAGTTAAATAAATAGTCAGTGTACGGATGAATACTATTATTTATGTTTAATTATACATTTGTAGGACAACTGTTTATATCGAACATTCTCTTGCCTGGTATGATCTCAAAACCCAAGCAGAAGTATTAAATTATAAAATCTTTTCAAAGATATTAGAAGCAATAGGTACACCTGGTTTAACAGGACTAGACAAACTTATTTCATTTTATATCACTTTCGAATTAGATAATATGAATCATTATATAGAAAAGAATATTCGTAATAAAACATGGACGTCTACGCTCGATTGCTTTGAAGCAATATTAAATTCTATGGACAGTTCTAAAGGTATTGTTTTACAATTTAGCATATTCTCTAATAAATTCAGCAACCTAAATTTAGTATATGTGTTTAGGTAATATGCAAAAACTTCACAGTTCTGTTAGTTCTTATACTAATAAATTCTGCCCTCAACTACTCGAATGGGTATTAAAAATCGGACATTATCAGCTTCTTAAAAAAAAAATAGCATACGAATTGAATACCGCTTGCAAATTCGAAGCTAAACATATGGAAGCAGCACTTCAAACTGTAAACACGTATGTTTAAATAATATTTTGATCAATTTTTTTTTTTTTATATTATATAAATTTCCTTAGTTCGTATATTTCTATGGTTTTGCAGAGCTATTTTATTCGAAATCGATAAGAAAGGCAAGAACGATGAAACTAAGGCTGACAGAATCGAGTTGTTACGCGAGCTTAGCGTCAGATTAGATTGGGCTGGTATAAGCAATCCTCATAATAACGTGTACATCAAATCGCCAAATATAAGCAATATCGCTCTCATTATATTTTTACTTACCGTGTCACAACTGTCTAAGTTACACTATTGCAAAAATACAGGTAAATCGATACGCATATTTAAATATTTCAATGTATACAATGTAACGATACTTGTAAAAATTAATTGTAGGAAGTCTTTTAAGTAAAAAATCTCAAGATCCTCTCGATGCTGTAGTATTCGTAACGGGAGTACAAACCGTTTTACGTCAGTGTGCTTTCTCTACGATGATGTGCTACGTTAAATATCTTTCTACGTATATTCTTTCCTGTGTAACGCCAGACAGGTACGGAGATATTATTCTCTATATAATTTCATTGCAACGTGCATTAATCGATACTTTACTTATAGCGCAAAAACTGGAAGCGACGGAGATTCCGAAGGAATGAACACTTTACATTTTCTGGAATTATTTACAAAATATTCTGGTATACCGCGATCGCTTATTCTTAAAGAAATTCCTATAATCATCATGGATCATCTCCAAGCAACCACTGTTAAATAATCATAAACTTCAAGCGTTATATAATCCTTTGAACAAAATCATTTTACATTGTATCGAAGTGTAAAAGAATATTCTCAATTTTGTACATATATATATGCATATTTTGTACATACATGTATCGCAGTATATATACTAATAATATAAGTTAATTGTTAAACATAAGAAATAAAATTCTATTATTACTACAAACATTTATATTTATTCCTTAAAATGGATGCTCTACCTAATAACGTGTTCAATGTTTCCTTGAAGTTTTTTTGGACCGAACTAAAACAAAAATAACGTTTAATATTGCCAACGAATCTTTTCTAATCGTATTAAAAAAATAATTGTATCAAAGTTTATCAAACTCTCGACTTGCGATTACGATGAATTTTGTAATACATTTTTACAAACTTCAATAAATCAAATTACTTTAGATTCTTAAATCTAATTCGAGGCGTATCAGCTTCATTAATTTTTGCCATATAGAACCGTACAATAATTGTATTAAATTTCTACACGTAAGTGAAACTCTGAACGCGTAGGATTTTATTGTCAGCATCCGCAGTAGGAATTTCTATACGCATCGGCGGCTAAAGGCGCTTGCGGCGACGGTGCGTTGCTCTTGCGATCATATTTTACAGCATCGATCGCTTCTAATCGTAATTAAAATGATATTACCAAGCTAAATTGACATAATCATGGCTACGTAGTGGAATAACATGCTTTAAATTCTACTGCAACCCGCGTTTCGTTGTTTACGATAAAATAAATAACGTCGGCGGTTTCGTCGGCTAGAACGGCCGCTATGAGGTCATCGAAGATCCCAGCGGCAGCGCTTATTGTCAAACTATATAAAGATAACGCCTTAAACATTTAATGTAATCAGCAACTTTAAAATTATTTGAAGTCGAATACGATCCATTTTCGTGTCTCTGTATTCTGAATTACATCGAACAACGTGTAATGCATTAAAATTAATCAATCGAACGCCGTTGACGCCGACGACGCCGACGACGCCGACGACGCAGTGGATCACGGCGGTGGTCGGCGGTCTCGTACAAAAGGAGCTGCGATAAATTCCCAGCTCAGTCCAGGCTTGCTTTACGTGCAGTTACAACGCTGAATTTCGTTTGTAGATTAAATTTACATTAAAATTTGTCTTCAAGATTCGGATAAAATTAATCAAATGTGCATCAACATCCTATACTGCATTTGTAACGATATTCGAAAAATGCTGGGCTCTCACGTTTCAATCTCTTTTAATATCGAGTCGATTACATTTCTCATCTCGTTCAATTCGCGATTATATCGTATTTATCAATGTTTCTTTTATATTTTATTTTTCTTAAAAGTTATGAACACTTTGAACGGTATCATTTAAGAAACTAGACACGTCGATTTTTGTATGTGAGTATAATTAACATTCTTCTGTTAACAGATCCCGTCGTTGAATTGTAAGTACCTATAGGTATAGGTGTAGATATATCTACACCTATCATACTCTATTTACTATTTCAATTTTGTTTCGTCCCTGCGTATACGTAGTAGATATACCTCTGTGATCTCGTAAGAAGTTCATCGTACCTATAACAGAAAATACATGATAATTAATAGAGACGAAATCGTAATCGTGAGAATATTTTAATTGAGTTTACTTGAGTTTTTCAATTTGTCAAATATGCTACTGTTTCGTCTCTAGAAATTTTTAACGCAATAAAGTATACGAGAAAGGACACAAAGAAACACGTGGAGAATCGCGCGACCAATGGAATTTGTAAATAATAAATACGCCCGATTTATGAAATATTATTTTCCATATGCTTGGATTGTATTTTCAACGAATCCATTTGTTTCTGCTGTGCATATATTTACTTTGTATGTATATATAAAGGGAACCGTAACTAACATCGTAATTTGTTGATATTAGAAAATCATGCGAGCGAGCATAATCGTCATTCTGGCTTTCGCCGCCGAAATGATCGTCGTTGTAGCGACATCTAGAAATCATAATTATTTTAATGTTCCAAAACAACCGAAATATTCCGAGCATCGAATAATCCGAACTATTGCGCCTCCGGAATCGCAAACGAGTTACGGTTATGGAAAAAGGCAAAGTTTCGTCGATGCCCCAGAAATGACTAAACACGGACGAATTTTATCTACTCTTTTAGAATACTTCCCGCAGGGGTACGTGTACGCACCTTTTTACATTTTTTCCCCTCGTCGTAATAACGTTTAACGAAACGTGAATCTACCGAAAATCAAGCGACGCACGATCGCTCAGATAATAATTTATACAGATAAAATAGTTTAATTTTGATAATCTTTCTGTTCTTTATTATTGTAAATAAAATTTTAATTTCAGGATACCCGTAGAATGGCTGCTTCAGCAAATAAAAACAAATCCGACTTTCGCTGCAAAATTAACACGGTTACTAATGGACGAACGTACCGACTTGGTGTCAATGGATCATTCTAATCCGGAAAGAACAACCTGGCTATATTGAATCTTAAACTGAACGATCAAACGATGTACACAATTTCTAGCTATATATTATAGTTTTAATAAATCTGCGATATTCAAACGAGTGTTTTATTACTGTTATGATTGAGTATTGCCTCACCGTAATTATTATGTCCACTGGAGGTCCTTTAAAATGTTTATGACGCAAAAAATTTAATCTTCGCTTTTTTTGTAATAAAAATAGCTCCCACTATATCTCTAAGATGGCGCCACAGATACCTTTGATTAATTATTCCTTATTTTTCATAAATGCATAATTAATACGTTTGTTTTTGCTTTATAACACTACAATATAACAATTGATATGTCAAATTTATCATTTTAATGAATAATTATTTAATGCAGATTAATTATCGACATTTTTTACATAGTAGCGCCATCTAGCAGAAACATTGGGAACTATTTTCACTACAAACTTGGGTGTTTCGCCACCGACGGCGCCACTAATAACTTCAATAAATTTTCCTTTATTTTTCTTAAATGCATGATTAATACAATTATTTCTTTTATAACACCACAACATATGATTTTAATGTATTATTTAAACATTTGCCTGAGTTTACATATGTGTTCTGGTCGATAAAATCATGCTGCGTACTACTAAATCGTCTCTTTAGTTAGTGGTTTAGTAAGCAACAAAAATCAGTTATGTCCCTAGCCCTCTGTTGATGCGTTTCAGAATTTTTAATAAAAATATCTCATAAAAAATATCAAATTATTTAGAAACAAATTTAGTATTTCTTTCGGTCGTAATAGTTTTCATAATTCACTATGGGGAAAAAAAATTAAATATCTTCAACTTGAATTATGCCTAAGATATAATAATAAAACAATAAAAATTAAGAAACATTATTATTATTACAATTATTCTTCATGTTTAAAATCATCATTACGATAAAACATGTCTAACGAAAGAATTTTATACAATAAGAAGAATTCGTTTTAGTACTGCTTTTAATATTCTTACAATTAAAATTCAAATGTAATATTACAGTGAAATGGTTGTATAAAAACAGGTTGTTTAAAATGGCACTTTTAGTTTGAATTCTTTTTTGTTCAAATTACAATGTAATAGGTAAACTTAACTTTTGCTTGTAATTACAGAAGGAACGTTATAATTTTATCGCAAAATGCTTCTTTTCTTCGTGTCTTGTGTAGGATTGATTTATATCACATGTTGTTATGATACTAGGGAATTCGAAAATGGTTTACATTTCATATATGTATATATATATATATATATATATAGAGAGAGAGAAACGCACACCCATAGGCATGCACCACATGCACATTCAAACGTGTATAAGTCCTAGTTTGTCTAGTGATTTGCATATTACAAGATTTCTACCTTTGACGTATGAAAAGATGGTGACCTACTGATAAAGAAGTTTTGTGATAACGAAAATCGTGAGTGTTTAAAAGATATTTTCAAAGTAAATATATTAATAGAATAAGGAACAGGCGATGCACCGGAGCTGGATCACATACGAAACAATCCATTTTAATTATATCCGTATGTATCGTAATTTATTCGTTCACCATTCGTGTATTTCACTATTCGATCATTTGAAAAGAATAATGATAGTAATTACTGTTTATCATGCGATATGGAAATTCTTGCAAAACGCTCCATTTCTTGAAACAGCATTTTGCGTGCTACTACGTCCATTTATCGTTAACCATAAAGTTCTGATTTTGTAATGGCACTTTATTTATCTGTTTACTAAGGAAGCAATTATTAGAGAGCTGTTTTCTATTTTGGAAATTTATGCGATAGCGTTGTAAGATTCAACTGTTCGACGTAATTAAAGTAATTTGTCATGTTTAGTGTTGATATAGAATGGTTCATTGGTATCAATAACAATCCTTTAATCTTACGTTATATCACTTTCCTATCTTTTATCTATACATTTCTAATCGTATTATTAATGACTTTGTACATATCTTTTATGCATCAATAATTCTATTCATTAAGGTCGTTGAATATTCTAGGTAAAAATAATACATGTGGTAGAATTATGAATTCTTATGAATTACTATATTAAATTTTCACAATGTCCCATTGTGAAGAAGAAGTAGCATCATCTGGTTTTCACCAACTAAGTATTACAAGTAAGTAACAATTTTTATTTGTAAAAAGCATGATTGTAATCTATCATTTGTTATTTATGTATATTTTGAGTACTTTTTCATTGTTCACCCGAGGGTCAGGCTAAAGTATTGGAATTCCTTACTTTCTTATTGCACGTATAAGAGAAATTATGCTATAGATGTACGATATAATGTACAGTATATACTACTATTATTACTTCATTTATCGTATTTATATATGTTATTCAAATATCACGCTAAATCTTAGAATCTGCGCAATAAGAGTATAATCATATGTGCAACATTTTTAACAGAAATTGTTATATAAAACATTCGCTAGAATTATAAGAACATGGATTATGGATAAGATTTGGTATAAATAATTATAATTTTGTGTTTTAGTTGAGGGTGCTATATTAAGAAGCTCAACGTTTCTCAAACCTAATCCTTACATAGAGTTTTCCGTTGACGACAAAAGACCCAGAAAAACGGAAGTTTCGAAATCTACATATCAACCAAAATGGAACGAAGAATTTACAGTACTCGTGACGCCGTATTCGCAATTACACTTTCGCCTGTTAGACCATAGTACATTTCGAAAGGATACGTTAATAGGAGAGAAAAGAATAAATCTCTCCCAAGTGTTGTCTCATTACAATGGAAAACTAGAGAATATGGAAGTAACTTTCGATCTGATGAGCGAAAATAAACACGATTCGCAGTTATGTAAGGTTGGAGAGTTGATCACAGTATTCGACGGGCTAAGAATTAATATGCCAAATGTACAATCGTTAAATATTAGCGAACCATCGTGCCAGACCCAATGTGTATCTTCCGATGGTAAGATGCGTTGATTAGATTATTCGATTGTTAAATAATGTAACTTATAAGTCGATTTCCAGTTCGCAATAATTCGATTATAAATATTACGTGAAATTTAAAAATTATATTAAATTAAAATTTTATAATTGCAATTATATTTTAGGTGTTACAAACAATGATACCGCTAGCAATCGTAGCATTCTTAACGGAGGAGTTCGCGCTCGTATGAGATTATACGGAGTTGAAAACGTTACACCATCCGGTTTTCGTGAATTGACAAATACTTATCATAATTCTAATTACACTACTGGAAACGATCAGTCCAGTGCTGATAAAGACGGCGAACAAATCGAACCTGTAGCATCAAATTCTTTATCGAATGGACACGTAGTATCGCCTGTTGTAGATAAATCTGTTGTTTCCTTGTCAGGACGTCACACAATATCTTTACTAGATGGACGTCAAATGCCTCAAATAGAACATGCCTCTACACCAGGAACGGTGGATAGACGAATCGGTATGTGCGCGGAACAGTTTTCGAAGATGTCTGTCTCGGATGGTCGTAACGCTTCTCAAATAGAGCAACCAACGTTGCCTGGAACTGCTGGAGTATCCAGATCGGACCAAATACCTACGAGTAATACAGACATACGTTCGCATAACAGAGCAGAACAGTCTGCTTCTAGCGGACGTACCTCTAGAACAGACCAATTAATACCTACACCTGTCTCGGATAATTTCACAACTATCAGATCAGATCAACCAACTACTCCTTTGATAGACGGATGCATACCTTCTAGAGTAGATCAACCTACAACTTCTGCGTTAACAGATAATCAGGGAATTCCTCAAACAGAACAGTCCACGGTATTTACGTTACCAGATGGATCTTGTATTACTCATCCGGAGCAGCCGACAGCGTTTCACATCGCTCGTACGATCGCTCGTTCGAATCCTCGAATAGTGCAACGCGTAGCTTCGTTGACCGATTCCGAAGAACCTTTACCATCTGGCTGGGAAATGAGATACGACATCTATGGAAGAAGGTTCTTTTTTTTTATATTTCATAATAAAGTCATTTTTTCATTAACCCTTACAGAACGAGTAGGAAACATGAATACACTTACGTTTGAATAGCTTACCAAAAGTTTGACAATTGTAACAAAATATATGACACGTTTTTATTCTTGTTCTGTGAATTAGATATTACGTTGACCATAATACGCGAAGTACTTCTTGGGAGAGACCGCAGCCTTTGCCACTAGGATGGGAAGTTCGCCGAGATCCAAGAGGTAGAATTTATTATGTGGATCACAATACGAGAAGCACAACATGGCAAAGACCAAACACCGAAAGGTTACAACACTTTCAACAATGGCAAGGTGAAAGACAACACGTGGTACAACAAGGTAACCAACGGTTCCTTTACCCTCAAGTAAGTAATAAATAATATTCTATTATAGTAATACATATTTAATTATTTAAGCTCTTACATTTACTCACATTTACTCTAGTTTATACTCTTGCATATAATAAACGAAGCTTTCTTTTCTGTAATTTTTTTTCTTATAAAAGACATGAATCCGTTTAACTTTGATTAACTTTACTTTAGGGAGAAGGAAAGATCAGTTGTATCGATATCGCGTTTTGCCTGCAATTCACATTGTATTTATATCACACGACTTACGCAACAAATTTTAAAATCAATTAACCGCGTAAGCGATGACGATTTTCGTGAACATTCGTCCTTTGTACATAGGCTCACGGAAGCCAAACAGCTGTAGCAGGACCCTCGACATCAACGGCCGACGATGATGATGCTTTGGGACCGTTACCCGCTGGCTGGGAGAGACGTAAACAACCAGAGGGAAGGGTTTATTATGTAAATCATAAGAATCGCACTACACAGTGGGAGGATCCGAGGACTCAGGGGCAGGAGACTGGAATCGACGAACCGTCGTTACCGGATGGCTGGGAAATACGATTGACCGAAGATGGAGTACGATATTTTGTAGATCATAATACAAGAACAACTACATTCCAAGATCCAAGACCTGGTGCACCTAAAGGGTTCGTATAGATCTCTCATTGTATTCTTCTATTTACTTTTTTCTTTCTCTATTTTTTATTACACTGTCTATCGTTATCATTATTTAGTCCAAAAGGAATTTATCGTGTGCCGAGAGCATACGAAAGATCATTCCGATGGAAATTGTCACAGTTCCGTTTCTTATGTCAAACAAACGCGTTGCCAAATCACATAAAAATTAATGTAAATCGGCAAACGTTGTTCGAGGATTCTTATCATCAAATAATGAATGCAGAGGCTTTTGCATTAAGACGCAGGTTATACATAATATTTAAGGGAGAGGAAGGATTAGATTACGGTGGTGTATCTAGGTAAGAGTTATAAATCTATAGTCTAGCGATTGTTTTAATTAAAAACGTATTAATAATACGTTCTCGTTACAGGGAGTGGTTTTTCTTGTTGAGCCACGAAGTATTAAATCCAATGTACTGCCTATTCGAATATGCCAATAAAAGTAATTATAGCTTGCAAATTAACCCAGCATCTTATGTCAATCCTGACCATTTACAATATTTTAAATTTATCGGAAGGTTTATAGCAATGGTACATTATTAGCGTTTTCTGTCATTAAAAACTATTATATTTAGCATTGTCATTAATATAACGCGTATTTTTTTTAGGCCCTTTACCATGGACGATTTATCTACAGCGGCTTCACTATGCCATTTTACAAACGTATGTTAAACAAAAAATTAGTTATGAAAGATATAGAATCGATCGATCCAGAATTCTATAAATCTCTTGTGTGGATAAAAGAAAACAATATTGACGAATGTGGCCTCGAACTGTATTATAGCGTTGATTTTGAAATTCTTGGTCAAGTAATACATCACGAATTAAAAGATGGCGGCGACAAAATTAGGGTTGTCGAAGATAACAAAGAAGAATATATTAGGTATGATTATTCTTATTATATTGATATTTAGCATGCATATGATAGAACATAATTATCTTAATTTTCGTTGTTAATTAAAAAGGAAATTATTTATTACTATTACTTGTTACTGTGAAGGTTGATGACAGAATGGAGAATGACAAGAGGTATAGAGGATCAAACTAAAGCTTTTTTGGAAGGTTTTAATTCGGTAGTACCATTAGAGTGGTTAAAATATTTTGATGAACGGGAATTAGAACTTATGCTTTGCGGTATGCAAGAAATAGATGTGGAAGACTGGCAACGTAATACAATTTACAGACATTATACACGGAATAGTAAACAAATTTTATGGTTCTGGCAGGTTTGTTATAAATATTGTCTTCAAAAAAATTTTGTGAACGGAAGTGCCATTTATTACATTTATCTATGTATTCATTTATCCTTTAGTTTGTATCAAGATCGGATAGCGAAAAACGAGCCCGACTCTTGCAATTTGTGACAGGGACTTGTCGAGTACCTGTTGGAGGATTCGCAGAGTTAATGGGTAAATATTACCTATTAGCAAAAAACACATAAAATGATGGCATCTTACTCCGATGTGTTATATTTAATTAAATTTTTCAGGGAGTAACGGGCCTCAAAGGTTTTGCATAGAAAAAGTAGGAAAAGACACGTGGTTACCGAGATCGCATACATGTTTCAATAGATTGGATTTACCACCATATAAAAGCTACGAACAATTAGTGGAAAAGTTAAATTATGCAATTGAAGAAACAGAGGGTTTTGGTCAAGAATAATTGCAGATATGCTTTGCTAAATGTAACATGCAACTATGTATGCAATGATCAAAACAGATCTAATAATACGAGGTTATGATATTTTGATTCTTTTTATTCTCAGTAATAATATATAATTTCTAAATACCGTCAATTTAGAGTTCATAAATAACGGTAAGCGAGGTATAGTAGAAATATTATTGATTCTACGTAATGTTTCCGTAATAGTTTTAATTCGATATGATTTCTTTAAATTTCTATTTCATTTATTTTATACATTGTGATTAAAAGCAAGAATATGAGATTCGTAGAAAATATCAATGAAACGCTAATTTCTACGTATACGCATAGTAAAATATTTATAGACATTTTATAGAATAACATGAAAACAAAGATGCCAAAACGAGTATACTGTAAATGATATTCTTTTAATTGTTTAGTGTTACGATATTAACATTTTTTTATTCTTTAATAAAAATTTCTAATGACTTTTCGAATCTATTCGTTTGGAAAACAATTCTTTTTAATCTATGTAATTTTAACTATTTTGTCTCGATAAAATTAGGACTGACTTTAGAGCAATTTATTGATGCTTTCTACGATGTGTCAATGACGTTGCCTAAATATTGACAGGCTTGAAAATTTCGATAATAAATATTGTACATATTGAACTATTAATATACTGTATATTACGTGATAAACAGTTAACAATTTCATGTTTTATCCTGACTACTTAGTCATAAAATATTATTATTATTCTGTACATATCATACAATAAACATTGAATTAATTTTCAGTAAATTTTGTTTACAAAAATAAGGAATGTATGTCGTTCGACATGTGTATTTTATTCTTCTTCTTCTTGTAGTTAACGTTAAACTATAATCATGTTTGTTATTACAGGTTTGGTTATACCATATGGTATTTCTTTTACCGGCTATAGAATAAATCTTGTAATAAATTAATATCTGTGATATCAAACATGTTCAATTTATAGGATCGTAAACATGGAATTTGTTAATTTGTTTATGAACAATTTATGTACGTACACGTACATATATAAATAAGTATTGTAACTAATGTAATAAATAATTAATGAATTAATATATATGTATGTATACATTTAACAAGCATGCAATATAAAATTGTATATGTGTATACACGAATTAAATATATGGAATGCATACCGCTACAGTAACTTAATATTTACAAGAAAAAGTATGAAAAATTTATAATACTATTTAAAAAATTAAATAAATTTAGTGATTCGTTTACATGTCGTTTTATGTACTTATAAATAGCTGTATATTATAGCTTTACGTTGCGTGATTTCTAATTATGTTTTTTTTAAGCAATACCGTATTCACGTTTCACTTGTGCAAATATTTATGCAATAACTTTTAATTAAATATTTTACTTCATACTTTATTTTACTATTATTACGTCAATGTAACTATGCGCACTGCTTATTATTTATCACTCTTTTCATTAGGAAAAAGCTTAATACATTCAAAAGAAAAAAAATTCGAAAAATAATAATTGCATAAAAAATATAATATTATTTTGAAATCAATATTTGAAACTACTTGAAAAGGTTTTAAATTACGATACAAAATAATACAAAAATACGCGTTAGCATAACTTACTATTACTTTGCGAATTTGAGATATATATGTAATTTTCACTTGAACTCTCGAATAGTAAATAGTTCGAAAAATATAGTTTCTATGGAAATTATGAACTTGTAACAACAAACTTCGCTATCAAGAAAAGTTAAGGTGTGTATATGCGATATGTGACTCTGAATTTCATCATTGGAAAGTGCCACTGTTGATTCATAAAATTCTGTCTTAGAGAAATGAGTCCCGAAAATGATAAGACAAAGCATATTTAAATCGAACATTTGAAGAAATATCGACGATGTTAGACCCTTGAATAAACAGAGCTACCCAATGTTACAACCAATTATACAACTATGTATGTACAAAATGTGATATTTGGGAAAGTTATAAAATTAAATATACAAGCTGAAAATATTATTGGAATAAAATTAAATGATTTAAGATTTAGTTTTTGTTTTATTACATAACGCGTAATTCCGTAATTAATGTTTAGTAATCAATGTTACTTAGGAATTTTCTATGTGTTTTCAGAAAACCCTATATATACGTGTATATATACTTTATTGAGTAAAATAGTTTACAGTAAGTATGCAAGAGTAAAATAAATTTATTATATATCACATACTATATAAATTTTAAATTCAACTTTTTTTTATTTGAAACAGAAATATAGCAACCATTAATAATCTACAAAAAAGAAAATCAAGTTAGCTTTAGCTATTTTAGCTACAATTTCGGATCTGGTTTAAAAAATTTTTCCCAATTAAAATCATTCAAGTTAAAATTATAAAAACTACCACTTTTATTTAATGATAACCATTTGTTTTCTTTTAATTCACCTGAAATTCACATAATTACATCTTAAACTATAATAATAATAATATTTACTATATATTATTTCTCATTATGACATATAATTTACTTACTTTCGTCCATATTAACGAGATTCTCTTCTTTGGTTTCTACTCCGTGTTTGTCTTTTTTTGTTGTAACAGTGTACATTTTATCACCAATTTGTCGGGATACAATTGTTTCCTCGTTTCCTTCGCTATCCCTAAATTTCTGTTTTATCGTTACAAATACTTCTGGAGATTTTGGTTGATTATACTTATCCCAAACTTCAGAAAAGTTATCTACGGTAACCCTGTTAAAAAAATCAAAATTTATTTTTATGGGCAATTGTAAACATCGCGAACAAATCTTTATATTTTATCCACATACTAACTTTCCATCTAAGTCCACATCTAGTTTTGGATCTACTTTGTCAAGACTGATGGATGGTTTCAACATTTTGTCGCGTAAATTTTCTTGCCCTGATGGCATAGAAGGAAGTGCTTTCATAAATGTATTTTCACCTAAAAATATTTCAATATTAGCTTCATACATATTTGAGTGTACATTTACATTTAAGTATGTGTACAGATCTTAAGTTAAAGATCATATATAAATATACATGCACATATACATATACCTTCACTGCCATATTCAAACATATTAAAATTATATCCAAAGTTTCTCAATATATTGTCCATTTGGGATTCAAAGTATCGTGTCATTTCTAACGGATCGCTGAAGATATGAAAGTGGAAGCCACCTCTGGAGTGCCTACAATACGAAAATTGTAAATATAAAATTATGAACTCTTTCTTTAGAGAAGCATGAAAGATAATGTACATATATATGAAAGATATGAAGTTGCATCTCACATATGCTAAATAAATTGTGAATCACCTAAAATCATCAACGTCATCGTCGTCCTCATCATTTTGCCAGATTGGATTTCGAAAATTATCTCTGTCATAATTGTCACGGTGTTCGAAGAACCTGAAATATTTTACAACGTAAACTTTCGTCTGAAAGCAAGGACGACTGTCTTTCATTATGACAGAAACAAAAAGAAAAACAATGTTCGATTTACCAAATAACACTGTTATATGTAACGAAAGTTTTCAAACGATTTTACCATTTATTTTGGGGTGTCTCTGAATTTCTTCCACCGAATATTCCACGAACGAGATCCCAGAATGGCATTTCTGCGCTCACTACCTCACTGTTGCTCGCTGTTATTCTCAGTTATTCTTACTAGCAAGACAATCAAAATTACGTCATGATTTGTTGGTTGGGTTTTGAACCAGGATATCTGACAGGTGTTCGCTGAAACTCAAACTGTGGCCCTCTGCAACGCCATTAGTGACATGATTTAGAACTAAATAGAGTTGGAAGGAAATTCAAATTCAATTAAAGAAAAAAAAGTAATAATAAAACGGTAGGTGCGTTAATAATTTATTTTTTTTCTCGAAAACGAAAAGGCGTTGAAGCAAATCCTTCTGCATGCAATGCTTATGAGTGCCATGGAATAATGCAAAAGTACATACTTTTCTACATGAAATAATTTTTATGTTTAGCGAAGTTAAACAAAATTAAGAGGTACGCTTATGTAATATAATACATCTCTTTACAATTATGATTAACTTCTTAATTTATGATATACACAATATATATCATGAAACTAAATAAAAATGTTAAATATTGGTTATTCCAAAAAAAAAACCAGGAACTTTTCCCCGAACTAAATTTCCGACAACTTTCTAACTAAAAGAAAGAATAATTGGTATTCCTGAGTTTTGTAACTATGAAACTTGCGTTAGTTTCAAATTGTATATTTTTTAGAACGCATTGTGTGTAACTTCTGCTTTTGAAATGTGAATCCGTTTATGGCAATAATAAGTACATAAAAAAACGTTGTATGTAATTGTGGGATATTTTCTCTTAATGCGCGACGATCTAAATAGTTACGAAGTCTACTCAAAGCTTATTACAGTTTATTATTTGATATTTATTAGTTATCAAGATCAAAGTATCGGTGGCGTTACTAAGTGCATTGAAAAGCAACGCATGAACCGCCAATTTGAGAGGCTTACAGTATAATAAAGAAAAATCAAACAAGACACCATCAGAATAAATAAAATTTTTGTATCTTTTGCCACTCTTAGAAGTGGAATATATTAAACTAAATTTATTGTCGACTCTTTTTGCAAGAGAACCATGCTAGAAATTGTAGCACGTGGACTCTACAATTGCTAATTACGCCACTGCCAAATATCAAGATGTATTCCATAAAGGCTGCGTGAAACTATTCAAAAGTCGTATTACAATTAAAGTTGTGGATGAAAATATAAATGATTAGCGTGGTAATGTGGGAACTACCAGTGAACAAGCAAAGAATGAAGGTGGAAGAAAACGAGCAGATGTTTTGTGTTGGCAGTTGCTCGCAGTATAACAGCCACAGTAAACCGCGTCTGTATTTCAGCTGCATCGGAGCGTTCTTTCTATTTACGAGGTAAATGACAAATACACTCTTTTAACGTTTTATTTTTACACAAAAGTTTTTAGATTATATTCTACGTAATATTGATATACAATTGGGATCGAATAGTAATATATTTATATGCATTTACATTAAACGTTTCGTTACTAATAACACCAGAATTGATATAATAATACGTGAATTGCAATAAATCTTACTTAAATATTGGTTTCATTCTACTAGAATATAAGAGTTCAGTTATTCCGTTACTTTTATGCTTTGTCGAGAAGGAAAGTACTTTCAAACGATTCTTTATACTCGTTTACTTTTTTTTTTGCAACAAGTTAGGTTGGTCACGGTAACGAAGCTAGGACAGTTGACAAAGGCGCGTTCGTAAATTCACCAGAATCTTGAAATACGTTTTATTCGAAACATTTCAACATTTTGGCGTGATTAGATTAAAATTGTTAGTATTATTGTTATCTTATTTGTGTTATGTCGTCGTAAACGCGAAATGTTCGCGTAACACGAAATTTTTGTTAAATTTTCGTAGATGTTATCCACGAAATTTTTTTCTTTTTTATTGGTTATAAATCATGATGAGTTACTTGGCGCTATTGCTATTATATTTATTAATTTTCTTAATCAGCGATACTGCATGGCATCGCAAATATAAACCGATAGAGACACGAGAAAGTAAATTATGTATTGAATTTTAATTTCCATCGTTTCTGAAATAATCATATTTTCATCGTTGAGTTCATAACTGTTACGGATACCATAAGCGAGTTATTGGAACAACGTGCGCTGATTTCTATAGATGGCGCCATCTTTCAATTTTTCACTTTTATTTAGTTCGTTTGACGTGCGCAGGAACCAGAGCCAAACTTTAAGTTGACTTCAGCGACAGTTGCGGAAAAAGTAGGAAACTCCGGGACA